AAACATCCTTCTCCCTTCTTGTCACCTAGTTAACTCCTACTCATCCATCACACATCAGAGCCCCTGTCACCTCCTCCAGGAAGCCTTCCCCAAGCATTCCTGGGCTAGGGCAGATTTCATCATGCCTTGGGGTGATGACTGGATTGCCGCCCATCTGTAACGTGGGCTCTCCACTGAAGGGGCAGCTCTTCCACTGAGACCCCAGCATCCAAAACATATTCGCCTGCACGTCGCAGTGCTCAAAACAAACCTCTTGGATACATGGACACATGGCATGGCACCTAGGACCAAAAAATCTTTAGGGTCCCAGCACATTCCACTCTGATATTGGTAATCCATGACTGAAATAAGGATGAGGGGAAGAGGAGGAAGAGAGAGAGAGGGAAAGAGAGGACAGTAATTCAAATTTGTGATCGACTGTATAGTCCAAATCCTGTTTTCCCTCTGAGCTGTGTTCTCTCTCTCTCTGTGCCTCAGTTTTCGCATCTGGAAGTTGGGGCCAATCATAATAATACCAACCCCACAGGTTCATTAAGAGGCCTAAATAAGAGGATAAAATTATGTAAAATAGTTAGAAAAGGGCCTGGTGCATAGCAAGCACTTAAAAAGTGGCCACTCTTTTCACACTTTTTTCCTTCTAAAAGTATCACTGCCACGATTTGTTCTGTAATCTCTGCACCCATTACTTCTTGATTTCAGGCTCTCAAGCTCTCTGTGTCTTCTTCACAGGCTGGCCTGTACTGGGCAAGGGTGAGCAGTCCCGTTCTGGTGAGGGAAGTAGGAGAGAGGCCGGGGAGGGCGCGGGACAGAGTGAGAGAGGGGAGGATGCAGGTGGCGGCCTGGAGAACGTGGCTGTGCAACATCTGGGAAAGGGGGGTGGCCAGGAAGGAGGCCCTTGCTTATGCTCTCTGGACCCTCAGCCCCAGCCTCCTCCCCGGCCTCTTGTCTTTCTCCTCCAGTCCGTCACCCACACGGCCCCAGAGGGGGCTTCCTACCCCTCGAGGTGACCCTCCTCACAGCCCTGCCAGCGCTGCCCAGCACCCCCAGGATGAAGTTGCAGCCCCTGGACTCAGCCCTGTGGGTCCAGACCTTGACACCCCTTCAACCGCATCTCCCCCCTTTTCTCACACCCTCGACCCCGGCCTAGGACGTTGCTGTATGTGCTGTTGCTGGGCTATGATACCAGAGAGGCCCTGCCTGAGCAGCTGGGGACACAGAGGGCCTCAGAAGCGATGGGCCCTAAGTCATCACCCCGAGCCATCTCACCAACCACCCCCACACCCGGGCTCCCCATCTAGCGACCACCCACTCTTTCCCCAGTCACCAGGTCCAAGCCCAGGGCATCCTGCCCACCCCCTCCACCGCCTGTCAGTCCCCCATCCTGCTTGGTCCCTGGCTCCTCCTGATATTTGTAAAGTGCTTGGGGCAGTGTCTGCAGATAGCCAAGTGCCATGGGTTGTTTTGTCAAAAACTTAACATATATAAATATATAAACAAATAAAATCCTTGAAGATTCTGCCTCCTGATCACCTCTTCCAGGAAGCCTTCCAGAACCATCAGCTGTCAGGTGGAACCAAACACTCTTCATCCTCCTCCATCTCTTTCTTCAACCTCTCTCTCACTACTAAATTGGGCTGCTATTTCCAATTTTTTATCTTTGTCTCCTCCATTAGGTTCTGAGCTGCTCAAGGGCAGAGACCAGCTCTGGGCTCAGCAAATGCCCAGCAAAGAGCATGCCCACAGTAGGTGCTTAATAAGCGTTTGTTACTTTGAATTGGGTTCAGTTAACAAAGGGATTCCAGATTGGGCCTAAACTTCCTGCAAGTTCTCATGTTCCAGATTTCTGTGTGAGGATATGTGTGTGATGTTGTTTTGCTTCCTGACCTCTGGGTCTGTTTCTGGAATAAGCAGTGAGGAAACGATCATACATAGTCATCTCACAATAAATGTCTAAGTAATTACTGGTGATAACTGCCGTGAGAAAGTACTCCATGCTGGATACTCTTCCGCGCAATTTGCACGTTAGCTCCTGTAATCCTCACAAAACCTATGAGGTCGCTACTCTCCCACTTTCCAACTGAGGAAACTGAGGTCCAAAAGGTGAAGTCACTTGCCCAATGTCACTGGCTAATCAGCAGCAGAGCCACGGTTTGCACCCAGGCTGCGGGCTCCCAAGTGTGTGCTCTTCACTCCTGTAACAGCTGTCATTTACCCAGATGCCCTGTGGTTCAGGCACTGGGTAAGTGCCTTTCTGTGCACGACCTCACAACAGCCCCACAAAGCAGGTGCTGCCATAACCCCATTACAGAGATGAGAAAATCGAGGCTCAGGGAGGTGACGTCTGTTGCCCAAAAACTCCCACCCAGGAAGTGATGGTGCCCGTCTCAAGCAGCCTGAAGGCAGAGCCTGTGCCGTTAAGCACTCCACTCTTGTCTGTGGCTCCCCTACTGAGGGTCTCACACTCATGTACCTATGGGACCCAGGTAGGAGACAAGGACGTGGCAGTGTTACGTATGAGGTGGCAGAGAGCGGTGGGGTCTGGGGGAACAGGAGCGCCAATGCAGGGTCTAACTGGAGTGGCCGTCTGCCGCACAGGAGCAAGGGCTCAGCCTCTTCCCGTGTCTCAAAGGAAGCTAGAAAGCAAACAGTGTATGGGGAACATTCCTGCTTTAAAATTGGAGTCAATTAAAACACCCTTGGCTACCTGAATTGTTTCTTAGCTCTCTTTTGAATTTTTCACTTGCCCCTTGTAGCATTATATTTGTAGGGAACTATTTGTGAGCTTGTTCACATGTCAGTATTCCTGTCTAGTCTGAAGGTTCCAGAAGGGCAGTCAGTACCTTTGTCTTGATCGACATCTCCTCTTCCCCAGTGAAGTGTCCTTAACCCCTGGCATGGGACCTGGCCCTGTATTTACTGAGTGGATGGATTTTTCTCTCTGTCCTGTGGCTTTCCCTGCAGCCCAGTCTGTCACTGACCTCTTGTATGTGGCTAAACCCTGGCTCTCACCTGTTTTTCTTGCTCTGTCTTTGGCTCTGTCTCCATGTTCGAGAATGTTCTTTTTTTTTTTTTTTTGAGGGGTGGGATCTCTTGGACATGTTTATTTCACTCTGCCTCTGGGTGGGTCTCGATTACAATCCATTTACAGTGTAAGCAGAGCCCACCCTGTCCCTCACCGTGCGCTCCTGCTCCCTGGCTCTGTCTCCCTCTCTCACTCAGTAAACTCCTCCTCGACTCTCTTGGCCTCACGAGGTGTTTTTGGCTGTTTCAGTTGGCGTGTCCCCTCCCAGTCACCGGGGGGCTCTCTGCCTCCCTCTCCCACTTGCTCCCCCGCCTCCCAGCACCCAGCAGGGCAGCCGCTCAGTTCACGCACCCCACGGCAGGCCGGCTGGGCGCGCGCACGTCCTTGCACACGAGCCGCACGTAGCTGTACTTGAGCACGTCGATGAGTGTGTAGAGCGGGGGTGCGCTGGCCCAGCGGCAGCGCGCCAGGTGCATGGAGCTCTTGACGAAGAAGAGCGCCAGCCGCTGCTGGCACCACGCGTCGAAGAAGCGGCTGAACTCGGCCCAGGAGAAGAAGGCCCGTTCCCGCAGCTCCTGCTCCTCCTGCCCCGCCGCCGTGCCCGTGCTGGGTGGGGGCTCCATGCTGGGGCGCCTGAGTGGAAGGGTGGGGGACATGTGGATATCAGACCCATCCCCACCCGAGGTATCCCGCTTCTTCCATTCTGGGCCTCTCCGGCGCTGGCGCCTCTCTCCAGCTGGGACCTGGGGCGGGATGCTCCCCTGTCAATCAGTGGACATGAACCCCCACTTCATCTTTGGCCTCCTCCCACCCCCTGCATTATTCCTTGGGCAGTTGGAGCCTGTCATCCTGATCCTTGATTCCAACTCTGGTCCTCTCCTCTGTAGATGCGACTCCTAGGTACAGTTGGGGCCTCTCTTCCAAAATAAAACCCTTAAGCTCCCCTGTAGACACTTCCTCAAATGTGTTCCCATTTTTCGACTTCCTCCCTCTCCAGATGTGTCTTCCACACTTGATGGTAACCTCTAGTGCCTCCATTCTTATGGGACTCCCCCTTCCGTGAGTCTACACCTGGCTCTAACTGACATCCATCTGCACCCCCCCGTCTAAGGATGTTTCATCTCCCGATGTGCTCCCACATCCACTTACAGGCTCCTCATCCCCAGTCATGCTCTTCACGTGCCTGTGGCTCCTCCCTCCTCAAATGTGTCTCCCATATGCACCTGTTGCCCCTTCCCCAGACGTGACTACTATGGGTCGCCACATCCAGCTGCGATCCCTGCATCCCAGAGACGCTCCCACATCCAGATGTCCGCCCCACATCCAGTGTGTACTCTTTGCTTACAGGTGTGTGTCCCATTCACTCGTGGCCAATTCTCAGAAGTGTCACCAATATTCCTCTGTGGCCCCTCCTCCCATCTACAGCTATCATCCACCCACCCCATATGTGTGTCCCTCGTCCTCAGATGGGCTTCATTGCCCTATTTACTCCCCAATGTCCGGCTGCGCCTCCCCTCCTCATACAGCCCCTTCCCAGCCCGCTCCCGCCTCCCCAACCCCTCGCAGCCCCGCCCGCCGCTGCCCCACCCATCTCCACGGTCCCACCCAGCTGTGCCTCTCCCCTCCCCCAGATGTGCACCCTTCCCGCCCCTCCCCACTCACCTACCCGCCCCGGAGCGGCGTCCACCTCCCACAATGCCCCGCGCCGAGTCCGGCCAGGCCCTTGTTCCCGGGATGCCGCGCGCGGATTCCCGCCTCTCTTCCCGCCGTGCCTCGCGCAGCGGCTTCTATCGAATCTTGCCCTTTTCCCGCTAGTCACTTCTCGGACCCACAGCCAAATCCGCCCACCCAGAGCGAGGTTAGGCTCGGGCCGTTTCCCGGCGTGCTCTGCGGGAGGGCTTGCCTCACGTCACCCCCTTTCCTGGACGCCTGCCGTCGAGAAGACTACAACTCCCAGCGTCCTTCGTGAAGCTGCGGCGGCGCGACGTCTCCCGACCCCTGCAGTCTGGGCGCGAATTCCGTGGCGCGAATTTGAGACTTCAGTCGAGCGCCGAGCGGTTCCGGGTGTGACGCCCAGGAGAGCGGCGCACGGGGCCGACAAGAGGCAAGTCGTGCTGCCCGCGAGGGTCTGAGGGGCTGCGCGCGTGTTGTACGCTCGGGGCCCATTATACGCTCGGGGCTCATAGCATGGCTGGTTGGCCGGCTGCAGAGGCACGGGCGTAAAGGACGCTGAGGCGGCGGGGAGGGAAGAGCGCCGGCACCGGGCCGCTGGAGCGGGCGGGGGCATCCGTCGGAGGGAGAGAGCCAGGTAGAGGGTGGACGAGGACAGGAGCCAATTGAACCAGACAGGGTTTGAGAAGAGGCCTGGAGGAGCGGTGGCACTTGGAAGGGGGCGGGGTCCTAGAAGGATGAGGGCTGGGCCAGGGTAAGGCTTGGGTGGGCGGGGCCACCGGAAACTGGAAGACCGGGGAGGCGGGCCTACCTGGAAGTGGGTGGGGCCAGGGGAAGCGGGTGACGAGGTCGCTTTTAAAGCGGAGGCCCACCTGGACGGAGGTGGGGCCCAGGAGAGACCGAAGGGAAGATCTAGGGCTTGGCAAAGGCAACCTGGAAATGAAGAGGTCTGCCCTGGTGTATGCCTGATGAAGGGACGGGCTACACTTCTTGGTCGTCCTGAGAAGGGGTGAAGGGGTGGGGCTATAGAAGTTTTGTGGGAATGGGGCCTAGGAGAGTAGTGATATGTTTGGGTTTTATGTTGCCGTGAGGGTTACTGGAAGGACCAAAGGTGCCAGGCGAGGGAAGCGAGAAAGATGTTGAGGTCCTTCGTTAAGGGGGAAGGAACTTGGCGGGGGAGAAGGGAGGGGCATTTGTGCTGGTGTGTAGAGGTGCGTAGCGACCACCACAATCAAGGTGCACAGAAGTTAAATCACCCTTAAAAATGTGTCTCTCTTTGGTAGTCAACCCTTCCTCCGGGCAGCCACTGACCCTCTCCATCCTTGTAGTGTGTTAGTAGATGATTCATTTTGCGCATCTGCGAGTGTGGGACCCGTAAGCTTTTTCAAGAGCAGGTACTGGATTTCCTTTATTATTTGTCCCCAGAGACCAAAAGTCTTAGGAGATGCGTTCAGTGAATTCTGTGCAAGGTTCTGTTCTGGGTGTGGAGATGAATGCAGGGACTCTGACTGCTGGGAAGAAAAGATCCCACATTTGCAAATAATTAATGTGCAGGATAGATGATAACTTTCTGAAACGAGAGGCTCATACCAATACTTGATATTTTTGAGGGGGTTCATTCCCTACATTACTGATTTTCCTGAAGTCTGACCTGTGAGCTATATGCTCAAATTATATTTTTATTCCTAATTAAGTTACTTTTTAAAAATTTGATTTATAAATATTTTCAAACTTACTGAAAATTAAAGCAGCTAAGATAATACTATGTCATCATTTTGATTTTGCAACTGTTAACTTTTTTGCTATTTGCATAATCTAATTTCCTGGAAGAAATTTTTATGTTGTAGAAGTTTTAAACATAAACAAAAGTATATTGAATCCATATGTATTCGTTACCCAACCCCAGGAATTATCAAAATACATTCATTCTTATTTCATCTATATTCTTCCTTCCCCTTGAAAAAAAACCCTGAGTTATTTTAAAGTAAATTTTAGGCATATGCTGAAATATTTTAAGTAATTGTCATCATGACATGACATTTTGTCCCTATTTATTTCAGCGTGCTTCTTTAAGCAATAAAAGCATTTTCTGTATGTGTTTCACATGTAAAATTACCACATACTTAAGGAAACTTGAAGTGGTGTGTATGGATATGACATTAAATAATATAACTCATAATAAAGTAATCCCTTTGTCATCTTTTTCAGTTTGTCTTAAAGAGAAAGGCTCAGTTTGGTGCCAAGGTGCCTTTCACGTCTCTCCAGCACTTGGCTACTTACCACTTTGAACAGAGAGCAGCAGGCCTCAGCTCACAGTCTTCAGCCCCCAACCCTGTTTAACTAGAACCTAATAATTCGGCTTTGTTCCTTTTATTTTTGTGGCTGTCTCTTATGATAAGTGATGCTGTCCTTCTATCAATGGGAGTGACAGAAATGGGAGTGTGGAATGCCTAGAACCTGGAGCCAGGTGGTCTGGATTTGGGTTCCCCCCTTTGCCACCTGTGAGCTCTGTGATTCAGGGCAAGTGATACGACCTTTCTGTGCCTCAGTTTCCTCGTTCATGAAATGGGGATAAACAGAAAATGCTTGATTGGGTTGATTATTGTTGTTACAATTATGTCAACACCCCCACGGGGCCACCTACATACTCCTCAATCCCAGTACAGACAGTCCCCTACCTTCCTCACCTTTAGAATAGTTAGTGGTTAAGTTCATGGACTTTGGAACCAGGTACTGGGCTTTGGATCCTGGTTCTGCAATCCAGTAGTCTGGGTGACCTTGAGCAAACTACTTGACCTCTGCTTCTATGGCCTCATTTGTATTATGAGGTCAATAATGAATTGTAATGAGTTTTGCATGAATTAATTTGTGTGCAGCCCTTGGAATAGTGCCTTCAACCTAGTAAGCACCCAGTTAATAAAAATTTGATTCTTTACCAGGAAAAACATTAAGCGAAAAAAAAAAATTCAAGTTTTACATAGGTGGGGTGCGATTGCAAAGGTGGTATGAAGAATATGTGAAATCTGGGAAATAATTTTTGGAGACAGGAGTGAATCAGGCACAGCCCATTGCGCCAAGGCTCCGAATCTGATTGGAGAGAGAAACAATTGATCAGGAGAACACAGGACAGGGTCCCCGCAGTGTGTATGATGAGGGAAGTACCATTGACCACCACAGCTGGGGCCCAGGGAGGCATCCAGGCATTTCTTCCAGTGCTCAAAGGGAGCAGAGGGGACTGGCTGCTGGGGGTGGGCAAGGCCACTCCCCAGGGAGCCTGGGGGAGGGTGGGGCCTGGGTAATAAAGTTAGAAAAGTCTGTGGGAGAAAGGCAAGTACCAAATGATTTCACTCATCAGTGGAGCATAAGAACAAAGCAAAAACTGAAGGAACAAAACAGCAGTAGACCCACAGAACCCAAGAATGGACTAACGGTTACCAAAGGGAAAGGAACTGGGGAGGGTGGGCGCGAAGGGAGGGAGAAGGGGAATAAGGGGCATTACGATTAGCACACATAATGTCGGGGGTGAGGGGAGCACGGGGAAGGCGGTATAGCACAGAGAAGACAAGTAGTGACTCTATAGCATCTTACTACGCTGATGGACAGTGACTGTAATGGGGCATGTGGGGGGGACTTGATAATGGGGGGAATGTAGTAACCACAGTGTTGCTCATATGATTGTATATTAGTGATACCATTTAAAAAAAAGTCTGTGGGGCCTAGATTTACTGTTTAAAAACAAAATTGAACAAGTAATAAATATGGTTATTTATTATGCATGGTTCAAAATACAGTCAGGTAGAGGTATACACTGACCAGTCTGGTTCACACCCTACTCCAGTCAGCCTGCTCTCCCCCAGCCACTTTTGCCGATTTCTTGACTGTTTTTCCAGAGCTCCAGTTTGGTAAATACAAACGCTACCAATGAACCTTGCTTTTCCATCTTACAAAGTGGGTAGCATGCTATACACACTGTTCTGCCTCCCTTATTATTATTATTATTATTATTATTATTATTATTATTATTATTATTTTAACTGTTACTGAATATGCCTCAGATTTCTTTCAGTATGAGTAGAGTGTCTTCATTCTGTTTTGTTTTTTGCTTTTTATTTTGAGTTAGAGACTGACCAGAAGTTGTAAAAAGAGTACCCATCTTATACAACTGTAGTTCAGTATCAAAACCAGGAAGTTAGAATTGGGCAGCACTGCCGGCTGGGCCGCGGGGCTTGTTCGGTTGTGTGTCTGTCTCAGACATTGGAACCACCTCGAGATCTGTACCCAGCCCCACAGTCAGGATTTGGGACCACAAAGCAACGCCCTGTGATACCTTTTTATATTCCTTCCCCTTTATCCCTTCCCTGGCAGCGCTCACTTCGTCCCCTTGTTGTGTTGTGTCATTTTGTAAACGGCATCATGCGGCATGGCGCCCTTGGGAGTGAGGTGCTTGCTCCCCGTGATATTCCTCCCTTCGGTTCAGTTAACAGTATACCTTAGGAACTGTCCAGGGCTGATTTATGTATGCCAGTGGATATGTGATTTAATGAACTGTACGTTTTACAGTCGTTTAGGATATTATATAACCACCTAGAAACAATTTTTCGCTTATCCTAAAATTTAACTCCAAAAAAAAAAAAAAAGCCCAAATGAAACTGAAAATACCTTCAGGGCTTCAGTGTGTTTTCACATGAGACAAAGAGCAGGCCGCATATTGTAAAGGAGGCTTCTTAACTTGTTCTCTGACTTGGAACTCTTTTTTGTCACTAATGAATCTCACTAGCAAATTATTTTGGTCCATGAAAACGGGAGTGTCTTGACAGGGCAGCTTGTGTTTCTGACTTTGTGAATTTCTCTTTCTGAAAGAAGGAGGATTATGTGCTTTGGTCTCTGCGCAAGCAAAACCCTCACCGAGTATGTGGGTATCTGTTTTAGGAACAGCTGACAGAAGAGGCGAGGAGGAAGGGAGAATCCAGACGCCGTCATGCAGCGAAGCATCATGTAAGGACCCCTCCCAGCCTTACACTCTTCATGTTCTCTCTGCTTGCTGACTGTGCCTTTTCTCCCAGCAACTCAAGTTAGTCTTCAAGGCGGAATTCCCAGGATTGAGCAGTACAGAAAATGGGGAGTGGGGTATGGAAAGCGGGCAGCGTGTTAACCAAAATGTTTTACTTGCAAGGTTCGGGAAACCCTAATCCCGTGGTTCTCCACCGGTGGTGGTTTGGCCCTGCAGAGAATATCCGGCATTGTCTGGAGACATTGCTGGCTGTCCTAAGCTGCGGGGAGTGGAGGATTGCCATTAGCATCCAGAGGGTAAAGGCCAAGTGAGTACTTGGCTTGTGTGGGTGAAACCTTCCGGAATTAATGGCCTCAGGCTTGGCTGGATCCAGTTGCTAGAACACCATCCTGGGCGTCTGTGCCGTTTAGCTCTGTGTTCTTCGACGTGATCGGGCTGCCCAGCTCTCTTCCTTGGGCCTGCAGCACCCTAGAGTTAGCAGTCCCACTGGACAGAGGGCGTCTCGCTCCCATCTGTCCCAACAGTAGCTAGAATCAAGCTTCACTGGCCCCGCCTGGGCCACGTGCCGGGGCCTGGGCCACGTGCCTGGGCCTGGGCCAACCTCTGCAGCCCTAGGCATGCAGGGCTCTGATCGGCAGGCCTGGGGCATTGGCACACCCCTGCCATGGATGAAAGAGCAGGCCCCGCAAATCAGAGATACTGAGAGGATTTGGGGGAAAGGGGCACCCCAAGAGGAAAACAGAGGGGTTATTCCCAGAAGGAGGGAGAAGGATTCTAGAGAGACCCAGACCTGGATGTCCACCGTGGAGGCCTGGGAGGCAGTGGCCTACACAATCCCGGGCTGCATTTTTCTCACATGATAGAAGCTGGGGATAGTCTGTCCTGGGCTGATAGCGCCTTAGATGGTTTTCTGCCCCTTGCTTCGCTTTATTTATTGTAAGATAAGTTCTAACTGAAATAAGCAGGCGACGAGAGGCAACAAAGGGCCAGGCAGTTCATTCGAGCGCAATCCCGGGCGAGGCTCACCAGTCTGTGTAAATGGAGGCTGGAGAAGTCGCGCCCAGCAGGGCAGGCAGCAAGATTTTAAAGGAGGCAGGGGAGGCAGAGCAAAGGTGTACAGTGGAGGGAGGATCGCTCGCCTAGGGTACGTGGGGTCTCTCATTGGCCTTTAGCCAGGCACTGGACAGTTACCACTACTCGTCTAGCTTGGGGGAGGGCTCTAGTTTGGGACTCCTGGAATGTTGTCAGAATGGAACCTGTTGGTCTCTTCGCCTTGCTTGGTGAGGCCTGAGCTTGTCCAGCAGGCTCACTCCTTCCCCTGGTGCCTCCAGCCTTACATTTATTTATTTATTTTTAAAGATTTGGTCAACTATTTATTTTGGAATGAGTTTACATGTACAGGAAAGTTGTGGACAGTACAGAGAGTTCCTGTGCACTCCTCACCCAGTTTCCATGGTGACATCTTACACTGCTGTGGTCCTTTTGTCACAGTACGGAGCTCACGTTGGTGACTTAGTGTGAACGCCACACGCACCCGATCAGGGTCTCAGCCGGCCTACCTGTTGATGTCCCCCTCTGTTTCGAGGTCCAGTTTGCAGTAGCACGTTCATGTAGTTGTTCCTCAGTCTCCTCTGGGGGATGGTTTCTCAGACTCTTTGTCATGATACCTGTGAACTGTCCCTTGATTTCATGTGTCTGATGTTCTCAAGAGTAGGTTGGGGTGTTGGGCAATGAGGTGAAGAGTGTTGGCGGGGTCTCTTTGCCACCAGGCCCCAGGTGTTCCCTCTCAGTGCTCTGGAAGCAGCAGCCCAGTGTAGCCAGTGAAGGAGCCGTGGTACCTCACTTTGTCTTTTTCAGAGCACTTAACACCTCCTTAAGAACACTGTATACTTTGCTAGTTACATTTTCCTCCTCCACTAGAGTGTCAACCCCTCAAGGGTGGGGACTGTGTGTGTCTGGGTCTCTGCTGAATCCCTAGGGCCCCGGATAGGCCCTGGCACCTGATAAGTGCCAACTTAATACTTGCTGGCTGAAAATTGGGAAGTTGGGACAGAAAAATAGGCAGTGTTGCTTTCTCTGTCTGAGCCTTACTCTTCTCATTAAGACGGGTTGTTTGAAACTCTCTGTTATGTGCCGGGACAGGAATGGGCATCTGGAGCTGCAGGGTATGGCACTGGTCAGAGGGTTGCTGGTGCTGTTATTATTCCCCCTTTCCATCCCATTCCTATGCTCCCCCAGGTCTTTTTTCCAACCCAAGAAAGAGGGCAAAGCGAAGAAACCAGAGAGGGAGACATCCAACAGCATCAGAGACGCAGAGTCCCCTCCCAAGTGCGTAAGTTTGTTCCTTCATCAGTCAGGACTCTGCTACAGCTGTTTCAAACCCACGTCCAAATGTGTGGGGCCCCTAAAGGGAATTTTGACTCCAGTAAGTAGGAAGTCCAAAGTAGGTCCAGTTTCAGGTACAGCTGGATCCAGAGCCTCAGAATTGTCAAAGCGGGTCAGCCAGGCCAGGTGCTGGGGCGAGCAGCCCGGAGCAAGTCGCATGCATCAGTCACACCACTCCACCCTGTGGGTCAGCATCTATCATGTGACCATACCTAGCTGCAGGGAAGGTTAGGAAGTGTGCTCCCTAGCTGAGTGGCCACGTACCTAGCTTAAACTTAGATGCCTGTATGACTGAAAAACTGGGTCTACAAATGAATGCCGGAAGCCAGTCTCTGCCCTAAGCTGGGACTCCCATCTCCTCAGCATCACTCGCCCCAGGGTGGGTGGGCACATGGAAGGCCTTCAAAGGAGACTTGCCGTCAAAGGATGGATGGATTATTAAGAGTATATACCATGGTTACGTAAGTGTAAATGCATGCCAAAATGCACTGAGCTGTATACTAAGATTTGTGCATTTCATTGGTGTACCTAAATTTTTAAAAAAAGGGAAGTAAGAGTAATGCCAAGGAATACCCTAGAAAAATGTTCATTGAATGCTGGGTGGGAAAGGAATGAAATGTAGTAAAGGAGCTGGAGTGTTTGGGCAGTGTCCCCACTCTGCCTTCCGGAACACCCCCATTTTCCCACCTCCCAGGGTGGCACTGAAAGAGCGGAATGGAGTGGTGCCCGAGGGTGACTCTCCTGTGAAGCGGCCAGGGAGGAAGGCGGCCCGGGTCCTGGGCAGTGAAGGGGAGGAGGAGGATGAAGCCCTCACGTCCCCCAAAGGCCAGGTAGGTCCCCATCAGCCTGCCCATTCGCAGCTCTGGAGACGTGACCCAGGAGGTGGAAGGGTTTAGTGGCTGTGTCCCAGAGCAGGCGGATGGCCTGGACTTTGTGATTGTAGCCCTGGGACCTGGGGCGGCCCCTTGATCTTGCTGTGCCTCGGCTGCCTCACCTGTACCATGCCTCCTGGGAAGAATGATGCCTGCCGCAAATACAGGGCTTAAAAATAAGTCCCGTGTCTCCTGTTGTTGGGGGCTCTTCACCTTCTCCAGTGACACTGGTTCCTGCCTTCCCTTGTTTAAGCCCTTGAGTGTGTGTTTGCTGCTCTGTGGCGCATGTCCCAGTACCGTGCTTGTCCGTCTGTTGGTGGGGAAGTCAGATCCTCTTTGCTCTCCTCAAACTCCCAGTGTTACCAGCTCAGGCTGAAGCTGGGCCTTATGGGCCCCCATGAGGCATCCTCCCGGCCCCCCTCCACCTCATCCACAACTCTCCTTTGGCTCACTCTGCCCCGGTTTCTCAGGTCTGCCAGCCGGGCCTCCTCCCTAGAGCACACACGGCCTGACCGCGCACTTTCTTCATGGCTTTGCCCAGATGTCACCTCAGTGACGTCTGCCCTGACTACTTGCATTAGTTTCCCATTTGCTGCCATGTTTTGCCAAAAAATTTAGGGGCTTAAGCTGACCTAAGTTTACTGTCTCAAGTTCTGGAGGCCTGGAGTCTGACGGGTGCCCCTAGGCCTAAATCACGGTGGTGGCAGGGCCGTGGTCCCTGTAGAGGTTCCACAGAGAATCCGTCTCCCTGCCTCCAGCTTCCAGAGGCCACCTTTCCTCTATTGTCCAGGCTGCTCTGTGCCTTTCTTCTGTAGTCACATCTCACCCTGCCTCCCTCCTGCACTTGTTAGGCCCTTGTCGTGGCACTGGGCCCGCCAGGACAACACAGGATAATCAGCCCATCCTAAGGGCCGCTGATTCACCACCTTAGTTCCCTCTGAAGCTTCAGTTACCCTTTACCACGTAATCAAACATGGCCATGGGTTCTGGGGACTGAGCAGGACGGGGACGTCTTTAGGAGGTTGGCCTTTTTGCCCACACTGTGGCTGCTGTGGAGCCGTGAAACAGTTCTGAGCAGGAGAGGGACAGAAGAAGCTCTGGGTCCAGGATGGTCTTCAAAGCATCCTTTTGGGGCCCACCAGGGTCCCAATAGGAGACAAACCCCATGAGTGATTTGAACAGAGTTTAACAACAAACTGTCAACGAGGTGTGCAGTTATTAACGAGCTAATTAGAGGCGTAAAAAGAGCGCTCTAAGGCATCATGGAGGTGGCAGCTGCAGGGTGTGGAGCCAAAAGTCAGACCTTCATGGTGGAGATGCTGGCTGGTGGGTGCTGGGGTCTGTGAGCTTGGAGAAGGTGCCCTGTGGGCCTGGGACTCAGTGTTCAGGAAGTGGCCCTGGGCAGAGGGGCGGGTGATGCTGGTGTGTCTGAGGGGGCACCGCATGGCAGGCCCTATGACGGTTGGAAATACTGTAATTGGATACAGCTCTCACAGTTCCCTCTAGTGCCCTGTATTGGTGCCACCTGACCCAGAGCTGGCTGCCAGAGCAGGACAGGGGTCTGCAGAATCCCAGCATCACAAGGAGAGTGGATGGGTGGGCTTGGAGCTGAGGGACAATTGCTCAATAACTGGCACAGGGCCCTGTAAGAGAATTAGCTAGTAGTTGAAACCAGGATGCAAATAACAGTGACTTAAGCAAGGTGTGAATTAATTTCTCTCTCTAAGAGCACCGGAAGTCCAGGATTCATGGGGAAGTCTGACAGTGTTAGGGATCCAGGCTGCTTCCATATGTTGCTTTTATCATAACCTAGATGCCCTTGTTGAAGTGAATGTCCACACTTGCTAGTGAGCAGAGCAGGGCACTCCACTGGCCACTGAGTGAACGTGGTTTGAAGGGGGCAAAGTGTGCATCATTTCCCCCCTTCACATTGCACTGTGTAGAATTGAGGCCCCTGCCTGCCTGTAGCAGCAGAGGAGGCTGGGAAATGTGGTTTTTAGTTGGACCACAGTCTGCCTGGCTAAAAATCAAAGATTTTGTGAACTTTAGGAAAAAGATTTGCTGTTGGTGTCCATGGTGGGGAGAATCTGTGGCCATGAAACTACTCAGGAGGGTGGAGTGATGGCCTGGTAAAAGAGGGCAAGGCCTAAACTAGGGCTGAGTCTTTCTCTACTCTCAGCTGTTTGGGAAATGACCCAGCTGGGTGGGCCATCTCCTTCCTTTCAGTCTAGAGATCCTCTTTCTTTCCCCTTCCAGAAGCCTGCCTCAGGCTCTCCGCAAGCCTCCCCTCCCAGTCCAGTTGCATTTCAGAAGAACAGCCCTTCCCACTCGGACACTTCCCTGGTGGGCATCTCCCCAGCAGGGATCCTGAAGCGCCGCACAGGTAAGAATTCCTGGGCCCCTGCCTTTTCTGTGCTTGCCCTCCTCCACGTGGGGATTTCTGTGCCAGGTGGCCATCCTCATGACAGCTCTGATTTTAGTGTTGTGGTTAAGAGCATGGCTCCACCATCCCCTGTCTGTGTGACCTTGGGCAAATGGTTAACCTTCTCTGAGCTTTAGTTCTTGATGATAATTACAGCAGAGGGCTTTGGTGGGTTGAAAGTGAGCTGGGTAAAATGCTTAGAACTGGGCCTGGCCATAGGAATTGCTTAGTAAATGTTGGTTATTGTAATGGTGAGCATGTGTAGTGATGGAGGCTGCACAGCTTACTGTGGGAGCAGAGGGGAGGAGCCCTGACTTCAGGGAGACTTCAGGGAGGGGGCTTACCAGCTGAGCCCTGAGGGCCAGAGGAGCGGACAGGGAACGGGGGGAAGAGAGTGCCAAGCAGGGGGCCGGAGGGGTCAGGAGGGCCCTTTGGAGCACCGGTGGCCCGGTGTGCTAGTGCTTGGGCTGCGGAGGGAGGGCCAGCCTGGGGAGCTAGCGGCCCCTCTGTTCCCTGGGGGATTGGGGCAGGACATTTTGTACCAGGGAGAGACAGGTGAGAGAGCCACACGCTGTGCAGGCTGATAAATGGGGCAAGTGTGACTGAGGAACCAAAGTCTAATGTTATTTTAATTAAATTTTAATTTGAAAGCTGACACAGGATTGAATTATTGGAGGCTTTCAAGATATATTTGGAGTAACCTGGATCCGTGATTCTATATTTTCAACTGTAAATTGTATGAAACCTAAACACGGATAAGTGTTTCTGATGAAAATTTAGCCCCCACATGAGATGTGTTCTAAGCACATTGGACGTTGAAGCCTTAGCATGGAAAAAAGTGTTAATGACTTATTTTAATAATTGAAAACATGTTGGAATCATAGTATTTTGGCTACATTGGGTTAAGTAAGCTATCTTTCTAAAATGAAGTTCACCTGGGTTTTTTCTTTTTCTCACTATAGCAGCTAGAAAGTTTTAAGTTCATGTATGTGACTGGGTGGTGCTGGTGTAAGAATCAACAATAATTGTGGGAGCTTGAATTGAGCCGGCCCGGAGGAGGTGCTGTCAGAGCTGGGTCTTAGTTGGAGTGGCTCTGTTGAAGAAGGCCCTGCAGCCAAGAACAGCATATGCAGAGGCCTCCATGTAGGAGCAGCAAGGCATGTTTGGGAATCCCAAACCCTCAGTGTTCCTAGGACGTAGAATGCAATTTGGGGAGCAGGGAGAGTCTGAGGGTGGTGTGCAGTGAGAAAGAGTGGGGCTGGCTCCCACAGAGCATTGCATGCTGGGCCAGGGAGCCTGGGCCTTGTCCTGTGGGTGCTAGGGAGCTGTGGGATGGCTGTGAGCAGGAAGGGCTGGGTCATGTGTACAGAGAGGTGGTCATAATGAACTGAGTGGCTCAGGGCACCCCCTCAGGGCTGACACTAAGATTGGCCCTGTCAGAGAATTCTACCTAGAGGAAGTGACATCTGAGTGGTCCCAAAGGGCCACTAAACAGCATGTGCAAAGGCCCAGAGGTGTGGCACAGCGCGGTGTGTTTGGGAACAGTACCCACTCAGCGATGTTGGAAAATAAAGTGGACTATGTGGAGAGATTGGCTAGAACAGGAGGGTGTCCAAAGAGTTTATCCTGGAGTGGTGGGTGGGGAAACATGACTGGTTTTGCTGTGCAGAGGAAGGTCAGAGCCAGCAGGATTGGTGGTAGGGCCCTCAGGCCCTGTGAAGGAGCCACGGGGCTGGGAGAAGATGGGAGATGGCAGTGAAAATGATTGCCGCTGCCTCTCAGTTCAGCATGTGTTAGCATCTGAGTACCGAGTCCTCTGGGAGCTCTGGAACAAGAACTCAAGTGCAAGTCGTTTCTTGGGGAAGTGCAGAGAACACAGTGATTCAGGGATGGCAAGGTTGCCACTAAAAGGCGCGTTCTTTGGTTGGCTCTGCATTGGGCAGTTGGAGCCTAATTCTTTGAGAACACTTTGGGAATGGCATTGTGTGTGCCTCAGAATTATCTGCCTGAGGTGTGCGGAGCCCGGTGTTTATACACCAGCTCTCTCTCATCAGACACCAGGGAGGGCTGCTCCCAGGGCTTGTTGGTTTCCAGCCACTTATGGACTGCTGAGGGTCCAGAAGAGCTGTCCGGACACACGCTGATATAAGATCCTGGGGCTGCAGGTGGGGCTCTGAGAACATCCGTTAGAGTTGGCTTCTGGGCTGAGCACATTCCATCAGTGCTTCCTTTGGGGATTGTTTCCATTCTGCAGATTCAGGAGAGTGAGGCACAGAGTGATTGAGTAACCTGCTCACAGTCACACAGCCAGGAAACAGCAGAGCATGAAGGATGAAGCCTGTGCTGGGACAGTGGCTGTGGGCAGGCAGAGACCGGGAGGGGCCCCAGAGCTTTCCCAGGGGTCCTCACCTCATCATCGGTGGGCCCGAGCTCACTGGGGCGGGAGCAGACTGACCACGTGGTCGGCCACACCAAACCTTCTGCCCTCCCAGCTCGGAAGCAGCTTCCTAAACGGACAATTCAGGATGTGCTGGAAGAGCAGAGCGAGGACAAGGGCAGAGAAGCCAAGAGGAAGAAGGCGGAGGACGGTGAGGAGTGGGGCGGGCGACGTGGCCTGTGGCGCGGGCATCCGGGGGGGGGGCCTGTCTGAGAGGACAGGGTGTTGGGGCCCCCAGTCTGATGCTGATGTCCCTGAATCCCCCACACCAACACTGTTATGAAAGCATTTTGGAATACCCTCACTTGGCCGTCTTAATTCAATATTAATTCACATGCAGTTTTCCATTTTTATCTTCTGTTTATTTTATGGAAGATGTCTTTCTCTAAATGATTTATTTTCCTTAGAAATTTTCCCAGAAAGCAGAGGTTCCCAGCCTTCCACAGAACCTTTAGTGCCTTAGTAATTGTTTCCTGGTGTCCCTAGGCCGATACCTTAACAGTTATGTTTATTAAGTAGCTGTGTACAAACAACTGTTTATGTTCTAGCAACTTGGGCACTTGAGAAAATAATACACATACACTGAAAAATATTATTTTATTTCCTTCTTAAATAAGCACAGTTAGGTACTAACAGGATGTCTCCTGGGTGCTGCACAGTTCCTCAAACCTTCGAATCCAGTTGAAAACTGCCACCCTCCTTCCCTGTCCCACATGGATTCCCATGCAGTGTGTGGCTTCTATCACAGCAACCAGTAAAAACCAGAACTATAATGTCAGGAATTGCAAAGAATGTGATCTAATAATACTGGAAGCTAAAATACCTCAAGCTAGTAGTTCATACAGCGTCCGACAGAGGACAGACACCAGTTTCCCTTGAAAATGTAAAATACTCTGCTGTGTCCCTGTGGGTCCCCTGCATCTTGGTGCACACGTGGGAAATGCAGACGTAAACATCTGATCTGTTGATCATTTGGGGCCTGGATGAGATTCTAACAATTGCAGCCTTTGCCACTGTGAGTGTTTGTTTAATCAAAGGTCCTTATTAGACCCAACTTTGCCAGGACAGATTTTAATTTGGTTGAGATGTAATTTCCTGTTGGCAATTTTTAGTCTGTAGCAAATTTTACTGTAAATTGTACCATTTCAGCCATTGTCAGTGTCTGAGGGGGACAGGGATAGATGGCTTAAGGCAAATTTTTCCCCAGTTCCTTTATGCAGTTTTTATTATTACCCTAGAGGATTTTTTTTTCAGTCAGTTTAAAATAAATTTTATTTTTATCTATAACAAGTTACATGCATTTGGAACCCTGTCCAATTCTATTTTGCGGTGCGTAATTTTAAAATAATAGTTTATAAGAAAACACTGGCTGTTTATTTCTCAGCTGCACAGGCAGACAGACATCTGGCCGGTTTCCCCCTGAGGTCCCCCCCTTCTTGGGGTTGCCCAGGAGCGCATTCTTGCACCTCCCATCACGCTACAGACATACTCGATTGGCACAGTGTCTTGGAGTTGAAATGTCCTCAGGGGTGATAGTGATTTTTTGCCATCTGACTTTTCTGCCTGTCGCCCAAAAGCAGAGACTCCAACAGAGAACCTCACAGAGCCTGAAGTGGCCAGAAAGCAGGAAGCAGAGGAGGAGGACCGGCGCACAGCACCCCCTGCACACCCGAAGACCGCCAGTGAGTTTCTGACCTCCTCCCTGCGGCTCACGGCTCAGATATTCTGGGGGACAGTTAATTTTAAAAAAGATTCTCAAATGTGTTGTTTCAACAGGAGTTCTAAGGGAACATAGGCTTTGTTATTGCTCTTGTTTTTATTGTCACTGCTTTTCTTCCATGTGTGTTAGAAAAGAAGAGCCAGTCAGCCTCCCACAAAACATTTATAGTTACACAGAAATCCCAGGTACTGTTATTAATTGAGCAATAAATTATTCAGGTAGATAACCAGGCCGAGTTACAAGATTTTAGAGGTGAAAGTTACCCTCACAGCCGTAGAATAGCCTCTGCCATCTGGGTGTCCATGAGACTGTTAGAATCAACGCCATGAGGACATTTTTAGGCAGAATATCTGATATTCTGCCTGCAGAAGTGGGGACATTGTCTGCTACTTGTCCGGAGATTTCTTTTTACCGCTGTCTGTAAATCTCCACAATTTCAGGCCAAATGCTCAAATTCCATTAGTATTAATGACAAAACATCAGGCCCAAGAGGCTCCCTACTCAGACAACAGAAAATGAAAGGGCAGAATCGATTACATTTTCCATCTGTAGGGTCAGAATGACCATGGGGTCAAAAATAAAGCCTGGGGGTGGAAAGTGCGCGCCGCTGTCCCACTTTTCTTGCTGTGGCCGCAGAGCCTGAGGCGGCTGTGAAGCAGGACGCAGGGGAGGACCAGGCGAAGGCAAAGGCCCGGCCCAGAGCTCCCAAGACACTCAGCAGCTTCTTCAGTGAGCTCCCCTCCCTCCCTGCCAACCTCCCAGGCCAGCAGTGGGGGGCAGGTGGGGCTTTCTCCGGAGGGCGCGCTGAGAGTCCCTGGGCCGTCCCCCCCACCTCCACAGGTCTCCTCACTTGTCCTGACTTGTCACCTTCTCCCTGGGCTCTGGGCGGCGGGTGGTTGGGAGAGAGTCCCGCAACTCCCTGGCTTCACTCCCAGCCCCCCGGAAGCCGACAGTCAAGCAGGAGGTGAAAGAAGAGGGATCTGGTGCTCCGGGAAGGGAAGCGAGCAAAGGGTGAGTCGGAGCTGCTGTTGAGTGGAGGACAGAGGGTGAAGGGGATAATGCAGTGGGTCCAGAGTCCCTCGGATTTCATTTTAAGCCTCCAAAAATGAGACAGATAATCTCAAAAAATTCTTCCAGGTTTACAATCCTGTGATTTTTTAATTATTCTAATAAAATGTTCTGGGGCTTCATGTCAGTTGTGTCCCCCAGTTGAGACCTGTTGGGTGGATGGCACCATTTCAGCATGTGTCTGCACTGTGGGTGCAGTCAGCTGCTTGTGAACACCTACTGCGTGTCAAGGGTGGTGCTAAAGGTTTCATTACACTTTTTTCCTCCATCCTCTGGAGGAGGCAGGCACTTTAGCCTTTTCACCCATGTTGGAACTGTTAGCCCAGAGAGGTTAGGTAGGGCCTCCCGGGGTCACACAGAGAGGTGGAGGTAGGGCTGGGCTTTCTTACCATTGCCTGTCTTCCTTTCTGGGTCCATGTCTGTGTGTACGTATTTATAAATAAGTTTCTCTGACAAAATTACATATAGTCTCCTACTGTATGTAAAATTTTATGTCCTGTTATTTATGTCATGTGACACTGGTCATTTCTTCCCCCTCCTGATCTCTTGGCCATCTCCGGCCTGCCTCCGGAAGACAGACAAACCTCCAGGGCCTCCGCTTTCCTCACCTTTTAAATGGGGACAGCCATGACAGAAAGCACGCCCTCCACCCGCTGCTGACGAGGTGGGGAGCCTTCCATGCCCTAATGCCCTGAGTCCTCAGCAGCGCTGTCTGGAGAGTCGGTTGGTATCCCCATTTCACAGGTGTGAAAAGTGAGGCGTGGAGGCAGGGCAGTACGGCAGAGTGGTTAGAAGGCTCCGCTCTACTTTTGCCAGCTGTGTGACCTTGGAGAAGTGCCTTGGCCTTGGTGTGTCAGTTTCCTCCTGAGGGTTTGAAGCGTTTAGAGTAGGATCTAGCCGTGGCCAAGCTCAACAAGTTGTAGCTGCCATGATGATTATTGTCGTTTATTTTTAGTGGCCTGCTTAGGTCACAGATGGGGAGTGTGGTACAGTTGGGATTTGAACCAGGCAGTCTGACTGTAGAATTTCTTACCCACTGTGCTCTGTGCCCTCTCACTGTACCAATGATAGGATTGACCAGAAGAGCAGCCACTTATTAAATGCTGAGTCCGCGTGAGTCACTGTGCACCTCTGTGCACATGGTTCTATGGCTGTGCCAGCCATGACCCTGTCTTTGCATCAGAATCAGCTGAGGAAAGTCCCGAGTCTTCTCTCCTACCTTTTGTCGACCCCACCTGCCATTGTTGAGTTTTGGTGTAGATACAGGCCAGAGGCTGGGGAGTCAATGTTTTAAAAATGCTCCCTACAAAATGCACCAAAGAGCGGGAACCAAAGATGGCTAACCCATTATCTCTTCCCTAACCCTCACATCAGTGACACGGTGGGGGCCCCTGGCAGGTGCTTTGTGCAGATGGAGACCCTGGGGTTCAGAGAGGGAAGCCTCTTCCTCAGGATGACACAGCTGGTCAGTGGTGGAACAGGGATTTGACCCCAAATGAGGGTGACTTCAGTGTCTGGACTGCGGTGGCTCTAAGGGGCAGTGTGATAGGGTAAGGCATCTCTAGAGGCGTTTATGACACAGTCTCTGGAGCCGTGCTAGTGTACTAGCTGTGTGACTGTGTGAGAACTGCTTACCCACTCTGTGCCCCAACTGCCTTATCTGGGAAACAGTGAAAAGAGTCCCTGCCTGTAGCACTGATGGCTAACTGATGTAGTGTTCTTAGCACAGCGCCGGACACGTTGTGTGTGGCTGTACCTTTTCTCCTGCTGTTCCACCCAGGGAGGCAAAGGTTGGCTGAGCGGCCTGGGTGGGATGTCCTTGGCCCCTTGGAGTGGACACTAAAAGCATTCAGACCAGGCTGCCTGACTTCAGCTGCCTGATGCCTTCTCTACTCCCTGAACATGTGAAGTGTGTCTCTACCTCAGGGCCTTTACACCTGCTGTCCCTCCTGCTTCGAGTACTCTTCTCCCTGATGCCCACTCTGCTCACCCCTCAGGTCATTCTGCCCCTCAGGCCTTCCCCAACCTGCACCTCCCATGCTGCTCCCCTCACCCTCAACTTGGTTTTATTTTGCTTTCTGAAATATTTTTTAATATCCAAAATTGTTTATTTGTCTATGTGTCTTTTGTTTGTCTTTTTCCTCCCCTTAGTGTGTGAGCTCTGGGGTAGCAAACTTTGTTTTCATTCACTTCTGTGCCCATGTGCCTAGACCCAAATGGGCACGTGGTAGGTGCTCAGTAAGTACTAGTTGGAGGAGTGGCTTCCTGTGACCCGTGCATCTACCCAATCTAATCTCCCTTGTGCCTCCACAGACCCCTTGACCCACCCAGCTACAATCCTGCCAAGAACAACTACCATCCCGTCGAAGATGCCTGCTGGGAGCCAGGCCAGAAGTGAGGCTCCTTCTTCCCCCAGACTGTCTTATTTTGTCCGTCACCAGAGGCCTTAGCTGGAGGAAACTGTCTCATTTCTCCCCTCCTTGTTGTGGGGACCCAGCAGCATTGAAACTGGGAGCAGGTGGATGGGGGATAGCCAGGCTGTACATGTTGCTCTTGTGCCTTTTTCCCTCCCCCAGGGTCCCTTATATGGCCGTGGCCCGGACGTTTGAGAAGATAGAGGAGGTTTCTGCTCGGTAATGACCAGGCCTGCTTGGGCGGGGTGGGGGCTCTTCCGGCTGGGGTCCTTCCCAGCGGGTGCTGCGCCTCGAGCTCCTCATCCTTTCAGCCTCTCCCCTCGCAGCTTCACCCTCACGCGTGTGGGCCTGGGGGTGGCTGCAGGTCCTGTTGAGGCCAGGAGCCCATGCCCTCATTTCTGTTGGTCAGAGCCAGGCAGGGTGAGTCCAGATTCCTGGGGTGGGGAGAGCCTCCCCCTGATGGCAGAAACTTGACTTACACCAAGTGATCAGAAGTAACCGCAGCCTGGCTGACGTTTCTCAGCGTTCGTGAGGAAATGCAGGTCTTGGTTATAGTGAGAACCCCACTCCACTCCCAGCGATACCCCGGGTCACAGGGCTGCCCGACTGGCCCTCCTTCTCCTGTCCCCCCACCAACTCCCCTGTGCCTTGGTTTATATCTGTTATCGTGGGGCCCACCTCTTTCTGCCTCCTACTGGTACTGTCAGCATTACTTCCAGAAGGTCTCTCTGCACCTTCAAGCAGGTCAAAGCTTGTTTTAACTGCTCGTTAGAGTTCCTTCATTTTCATAAGGAACATGTCATTTTCCTCTTCTCTAACATTAGTGGAGCATTCAGGCTGTTTCCACACTGCATTCTTAAACGTATGTGCCTTCATGGACATCAGGGAAACCTCCTCTGGGCATAAACCCTGCAATGGAATTACAGGGCACAGAGAGTGCAGGAAGGGCCTTGAATGCTGGGCTGAGGGGCTCAAGCACTAGCCTGTGGCAGCTGCACAGTGAGGGCCAGGTTAGCCAAAGCCTTTTTGGGGGACGGGGTGAGCCCAATTCTGCCACTTCCTGGCTGTGTGCCTGGGCAGGCGGCCTGACTTGCTGAGTTCTGGCCTCATGGTTAAGGTGATGCTCGTACATCTCAAATTTGCTCTGAGCTGTGAAATGGAAGCATGGCTGGTGTTTAGTTTCAGGAGAGACTGTCAGAAACCCCTGAAAAAGCTGCAGGTGATTGTCCAAATTTGGAGGGTTTTCTAATTTTTTAAAACTCTTTTGAAATATGTTCAAACTTACAGAAGACTTATAGAAATGGTACAGCCCTCACATACCCTTGACCAGCTTCCCTTAGAGTCAACATCTCATGCCAACTTAGGGTAGTCACCGAAAGCAGGACACTGACATCAGTGTGTGCTGTCACGTAAGCTGCCCCTTCCTCTGTGTTCGCTGAGTCCCCACTTGTGTCCTCTTCACTGGGCCGGGACCATCCGGGACCCACCTGCCCATTGCTGTCAGTTTCCTGTCCTCTTCATCCCCTTCATTCCGGACAGTTCTTCAGTCTTTCTTCGTCTTTCCTGAAGAGTCCAGTGATTTTGTAGACTATCAACTGGAGTTTGTCTGATATCGCCTGAGGAATTGATCCAGGTGCTGCGTCCTCCGCCAGGAAGGGCAGGGCACGGAAGCAGTGTTGTCTCACTGCATCCTCTGGGGTGTGTGTGCTGTGGCCAGTGTGGGTCCTGGTTACATGGCTTTGGAGCTGTGTACTGGCATCTCCACTCTACAGTTGCCATTTTCCCTTTGTAATTAGCAGGCATCTTGTGGGATTCACTTTGAGTCTGTCAGGATCCTGTTTCTCCTCACACTTCTGCCCACTAGTAGCTTTCTGGGGCTGCTGAAACAAATAACTACCAACTAGGTAACTTAAAACAACAGCAATGTGCCCTCTCACAGTCCTGGAGACCAGCAGTTGGGAATCTGGGTGTGGGCAGGGTTGGCCCCTTCTGGAGGCTCTGAGGGGCCTGGCCCACGCCTCTCCCTTGTGTCCTGGTGGGTGCCAGTGTTCTTGGCTTGTGGACCCGTCACCCAGTAGTCTCTGCCTCCATCCGCACAGTGCTGCCCTCTGTGTGGGCCTTTCTGTGTTTTGTAAGGGCACTCTTAACGGATTCAAGGCCCCCTGAATCCAGGGTGGTCTCATCTCGGTCCTTCCCTACCTTATTACACCTGCTAAGACCCTGTTTGCAAGTGAGGTCTCATGCTGAGGCCCCTCGGGTTTGGGTGGATGCCATTCTACCCACTGTCTCATCTGGTGGTGGGGCTTACCCGAAATAGTTACGTCTGTGGTGTCTGCCCGGTGGGGGTGTCATATGTCTCTCATCCCTCCATTTGTTGAGCGGGCTTCCTCTATAAGAAAGCCGAGCTGCCCTTTTGTCAAACACAGATGTGTGGCAGAGACGTTTCACTTTCTGTGGCAGCACCACTCAGGCTCAGAGCACGGGGCCTCCAGCAGACGACCTTGGTTTGCATCTCAGCTGATACTAGCTTTCTGACCTTCGGCAAGTTACTTAATCTTTCGGTGCCTCAGTTTCCTCATCTGTAAAATGGGAATATTGGTTTCTGCCTCACAGGGGGCTGTGGGAATTCTGTGAATTAGAGCACTTAAGGCCAGCACCCTGCCTCTGGAAAATGCTCCATGCATTCACCACTGTCCCTCTGTAGATGCCATCACTGTCGTCTTCATCCTTACCATCAAACAGTTACTCTCCCCGCCCCAGCAGTCTGTGATTGTGCCCGTGGCTCAGGGCGCGTGCCTGGGAGGGACTTGAGTCCCTTCTGCTTCTCCTTTCCCGGGTTCCTTTTATTTGCCCCCGCCCCCACTTTGACCCTGGAGCATCAGGTGGTCACCCCCTGTCGCCTCCTGCAGGCTCCGTATGGTGGAGACGCTGAGCAACTTGCTGCGCTCCGTGGTGGCCCTGTCACCTCCAGACCTCCTCCCCATCCTCTACCTCAGCCTCAACCGCCTTGGGCCGCCCCAGCAGGGCCTGGAGCTTGGAGTCGGTGACGGTGTCCTTCTCAAGGCAGTGGCCCAGGCCACGGGTAAGAGGGGCTGCAGTGGAGGTCACTACAGGAGGGGGGCCCAGGGAAGACAGTGGGGAGGTCGGGAGGATCGGAGAGATCACCCCAGGGCAGATCAGCAGGGTGTGGGAGGCAGGGGGTCAGGTCAGGAGCACAGGGGGCGTGGACGGGGCCCTGGGGAGGGAGAAGAGGCATCAGGGAAAGGTGCTGCTGGCAGAGAGTGGGACTTGGGGGTGGGGCTGAGGGAGGCTGTAGAGCCTAGAGCCTGGGGGTCCTAGGGGAGAAGAGGAAAGAACGGTGGGCAAGGCTGGCGGCCTGCAGGGGCTGAGCCCCCAGGGCTTATGGGGAGGCTGGTGAGGGGGGCGGCCCTGCCTGCCCACCAAGGACCTCCGGTGCTTGGTGTTTATTGTGAGGGTATCAGAACCATAGAAGGATCATGAGCAGGTGAGGAGAAAGGCCAGTTCTGGGCTTGTGTGGAGGATGGACAGGAAGCCAGGAGTCCAGAGAGAAGGCTGGGGTGAAGGTCCAGGCAGAGGAGAAGCTGGGGCCAGGGCTGTAGGGAGCAGAGATGGGGGACCAGAAGCTTCCAGGTTTGGGGGTTGGAGGTGTTACAGAGAATGCCCTGGGGGTCCCGCTGGATGACTCGGTGGTGGAACCACCACTGGGACGGGACACTGGGCTGGGCAGGCACAGGCAGGGGCAGTGGATTTCAGCCTGGGACCAGGTGCGAGCCGCCTTTCTATGGGGGCCTCCCAGGACTGGAGAGATACATGGGTCTGAAGTTCAGTAGGTCAGGATCAGAGACCGAGGTGTGGGGTCCCCTGGGAGGGAAGATGGCAGGCGGGTTCACGTTTGTCCAGGAGGGGGCGTTCAAGGAGGAGGAGGGCTTCGGGGCTTGGGGGCTTGGGGTCAGGCCTTGGGGAGCGCCTACACGTAAGGAAGCAGGGGGTCATGGGACGACAGAGTGACCGAGGAGAGTCGATGGCGGTGGATAGCGGAGAGTGGTGGAGTCACGAGCCAGAGGGGGTGGGATGCAGAATTCTCCACCCGCTCACGGAGGCTCCGACCTCACCCCAGACCCCCTGCAAACTGCAGCCCTTGGGGTACTGAGGTGCAAGTAACAGACAGCCCAGACACCGGCTAATCAGAGGAGGATTTATTTCTCACATACCAAGAAGTTGAGAGTGGGCAGCTGCCCATGCTTGTTCCCTGCTCGGCGACGCTGCAGGGCCAAAGCCTTCGCCCTCAGCTCGTGGGTGCTCCCGCTCCCACACCTCACTTCAGGTCTCCTCCTGAGTCTCCCCACGCAGTGGCCCAGCACTGGAACGTGCCATCAGTTACTTTCCCTTAGCTTGATGTACACGTTAGAGTCGGGGCGTTGGAGTGGCTGTGCTGGGGCTTACACCATCTCTGCTTTTCCTCAGACGGAAGAGGGGAGACCCAGAGTGCCTTAGCGCTCATGTACCAAGGGTGGGAGCCCCAGTGCAGGGACAGCCTGAGCTCTGTAGCCTTGCCGGGCAGGGGAATCCGCTTTGCAGCTGCCCGCTCCCCACTTCTTAGGGTGTGAGAACTGCGGGCCAGACCTGCTGCAGTGGGCCAAGTCTCCGCCTCCAACTGCCTGCTCATCTGGCGAGAGGCGCCCATGGGACCTGGTCTGGGCAATAAGGCCAGCACACACTCGGTGTTTAAATCAGTGGACTTCAGAAAGAGTAACCCAAAAAATCAAAGTCCTATAGGTCACTGCCAGACGGTGTTAATGACCAACGAGGGGACAGGCAGAGGGTCCCTCGGCCACCTTCTGTCTACACTTGCCCCTTGGTGATCTCATCCCACCCCAGCTTCAAATCCCGTCTATACACTGAAGACAACGCCCTGGACATCTCTCCCAGCATAGACACATTTGTCCATCTGCTTACCTTTCTCCATGTGAATGTCCAGGCTCTTACACCTGACGTAATTGGAGGGCAGCAGTTAATGAGTTGGTTCAAGTGGGTGAGCACTAGGCACGGGGATGTCCGGGGCTCACCGCAGCACGCGCAGCAGGAGAAAACACCCAGGCCCCAGAGCAGGGAGACGCACAGCCCGGCTCCCTGCCCCTCACCGCCAGCCTCTCCGCCCCCACCCCACTAGGTCGGCAGCTGGAGGCCGTCAGGGCCGAGGCCGCTGAGAAGGGCGACCTGGGGCTGGTGGCCGAGAACAGCCGCAGCACTCAGAGACTCATGCTGCCGCCACCCGTGCTCTCTGCCTCCGGGGTCTTCTCCAAGTTCCGGGACATCGGCAGGCTCACCGGCAGCGCTGTGAGTGGGGCAGGGCGGCTCACCCCAGCTCCCCAGACCCTGTGCTCTTCGCCTGGGGCTAAAACCACGTGTGTGGCCAGAGGGCTCCTGGTTAGGCCCTCTGGGGCTTCGGCTCTGCTTGTGGGGTCAGAGCTGCCTTCCTCCCACCCTCAAGGCCAGGCGTCTCCTCTTGAGAGTCTAGCGCTTGATACGCTGCTGCATGACAGGACTCAAGACCCATTTGCTGAATAAAGCTAGGAGGGCGCAAGGGGAGCTGGTCCTCCCACTGGCAGTGGGGCCATGGGCTTGGGGAGGGGCAGCAGCCCCCCAGGCAGCTCAGGTGGCCAGGAGGAGGGGGTCCTCCCTTCACCCCCAGCACTCACTGCTCTTCCCCCACCTCTTCAGTCCACCGCCAAGAAGATGGACATCATCAAAGGACTCTTCGTTGCCTGCCGCCACTCGGAAGCCCGATTCATTGCCAGGTGAGTATGGGCTGGGGGGAGGTGACAGCAGGGAGGGTCTGGCAGCCAGGATCCCTGCTCTGAGGATGGTGAGCAAGGGCCTAGGCCCTGAGTGGGAGAAGGGAAACAGGTTTCATCTCACCAGCACCTCTTCCCGGTGTCTGCCTGGAGGAGGGGCCTGAGCTCAGGTGCCGGGGTTGATGAGTGATGTCTGCCTGGGCCGAGGCCTGTGCTGGACAGCATGGGGCTGAATGGTTGCCAGGACAAAACCATTGCAGCCCACAGTGTGGAGTTTTTCCTGGGTGTCCAATGCCACATGCTCCATCCCATCAGTTCCTCCCTGTGGCTCTGCAAGGGGGTCTCTGATCCTCACCCAAGTTTACAGAAGGGGAGGTGGGGACACAGGGAGGTTACTGACTCCAGGCAAGGCCTGTGCCGGGGGTAGGCCTCACCGTCACGCTTTTGGCATCACGGGGGCAGGCTTTGTTCCGGGTCCAGACCCAGCTCTGCCCCTGACTTGCCTTCCCTGAGCCCCCTGTTTTCTTAAAGGGCTGCGGAGATGCCTGCAGGCCCCCAGTTCTGCCCCAGGAAGTGCCAGTGGGTGTAGATGTTACTGGTTGGCCTCAACTTCCTTACCTGTTAAGTGGGGCTCTGATCTGGCACCTTCCAGCTCTGAAGATTGTTCTAGTTTGAGGAGAGGTCTACAAAGCATTGGGGTGGGGGAGACTAGAGGAGGCACAGGCAAGGCTGGAAGGTGCAGAGAAGCCCACCCCCCTCACTTGCTCTCTCCCCAGGTCCCTGAGTGGTCGGCTGCGCCTCGGGCTGGCAGAGCAGTCAGTGCTGGCCGCCCTCGCCCAGGCCGTGAGCCTCACGCCCCCAGGCCAAGGTGAGCACACCACTTGAGTTCACCGGGGCGGCCCTGCTCCTTTCCAGAAGTCCCTTCCCCATTGGTTTCTGCCTTCTGCTGCCACTCCAGGCACCGACGCTGAGGAAGGTGTCCCAGCAGCCTCGTTTACAGTCTGTGCTGTACAGCACGCCACCCGCTGTAGATGCTGGGGTAGCTGAGGGGGGTCGAGCCCGTCCCAAAGCCTCTTCTGGTGGGTCTTGTCCTAGAATTCCCCCCAGCAGTGGTGGATGCTGGGAAGGGCAAGACAGCAGAGGCCAGAAAGACCTGGCTGGAGGAGCAAGGCATGATCCTGAAGCAGACATTCTGGTGAGATCTGGGGGTCACGGGCAGAGTGAGAGGGGCTGGGGAAGCCCGAGGGCGGTGGACTCAGAACCAGGGGTGCGGGTGACATGGGAGGGGCCAGCGGCTGGCAGGCACCGTGACCGTCACCAGGCTGGGGACAACATGGGGTGGTGAACTAGGCCAGCTTGGTGCTGGGCACAGGGATGGTGACAGAAGAGGAAGGCGGCAAGCAGTGAAGGGTCAGTGCTGTGGGGCAGGAAGAGGCAAGGAGGGAGACCGCAGCAGGTGAGAGCCGCAGGCACCCAGATGTTTTGGAGTTGCAAACAGGACTGTGCACGGGGGCCTCAAGAACCAAAGGGGCTGGTGACTGGTGCACAGTGAGGGGCCAGGAACCCTTGGCGTGATGGTGAGGGCTGCAGAGAGCCAGTGAGGAGACCTGGCCGCAGCCAACCCAGGCTGGCCACTCAGAAGTGACTGCCCAGGGAGTGTCGGCGTGGAGAGGGCCGGTGACTCCAGATGCCCGCAGGGCACCCGCTCTGGGCTGAGCCCTCTGGGGTGGCACAGGGCGGAGAGCAACCCTGCGGAGCCCTGGGCCAGGCCACAGTCTCCACTCTGCCTGTGCATGGGGGTCTCGCTGTCAGGCCCCAGAGTAGTTAAGCCAGCATCTTTGGAGGTGGAGCCTGGCCTTGAAGAAACACATACAATACATCCTGGAGTGGCTCTAATGTGTACCCTTGACCAGAGACTCACTGGTCTCACGATGACGGGGGGGACGGCAGGCCTCGACCAAGGGAGCAGGAATGATGCGTAGTGACGCCGAGGGCACCGTGACAGAGGCAGCCGGAGGCGGGGTGGCGAGGAGCCAGGGGTCGGGGAGCAGACCCAAGGCTGAGGGGACAGGCCACAATGGGTCTTGGCAGCCAGCGAGTGGTTTCCAGGCTGCCCGAGTTCTGAGACACCTGCCACCGTGTTCTCCCCAGCGAGGTGCCCGACCTGGACCGGATCGTCCCTGTGCTGCTGGAGCACGGCCTGGACCGGCTCCCGGAGCACTGCAGGCTGAGCCCAGGTACGAGCCCCCAGCGGCCCCGCAAGGATCTGACCGCAGCTTCTTCCCTGGCAGAGCTGGCTCCCTGGCTTCCTTCCCATCCCACTGCTCCCGGCCTGGCTTCCGCCCTCCAGGGCACCCCTCTAAGGACCTGCGGGAGCCTCTTCTCTCCACCCAAATTGAATCCTGTCCCCTGGTGCTGAAGCCCATCCCTTTCCTCCTCAGAGTCCTTGTCTGTGGTAGGTAGGGTGTCGGTGAAGCTGCTGTAGCACAGGTACCCCAAAAGGCGGAGGATCCAGCCAGGCAGAACCTCTCACACAGAACAGCCCAGAGGAAGGCAGGTGTGCACAGGGCGCCCCAGGCATCACCTGGGCCCTGGGTCCTGCCCCGTCACTCTGTCCTCCCCAGGTGGTCGACCTCATGTGCATGACCAGAGATGGCTCATGTGTCTTTTCTGGACTGGTAGAAGAGGGGGCACCAGACTCCTTGTGAGGATGTGACCCACCCGTGTGCACAGCCTAGTCCCGTGGCCTCACCTAGCTGCAGGGGGCTGGGAATGCAGACCCGGGCCAGAAACCCAGCGCCCTTCCAACTTGGGGTGCTCTTAGTGACAGGGCAGGACAGCAGTACTGGGCGCAAGTAGCTGTCTGTGCCACACCCACCCTCAGTTGTCACTGTGCCACACCCACCCTAACCCACTCCCTCTCCTCCCCTCCCAGGGGTCCCCCTGAAACCCATGTTGGCCCACCCCACCCGGGGTGTCAGTGAGGTCCTGAAACGCTTCGAGGAGGCAGCTTTCACCTGCGAGTACAAATACGATGGGCAGAGGGCACAGGTATGGGGGTGGACCCGCGCCTTCAGCAGACAGGGAAAGAGCAGGGGCGGGGGGCAGGCAGTCGGAGCTGAAGGCCGGCTGCTGCCACGGACTGCTCGGGCGACCTTGCACATCTCAGACTTTAGTTCCTACCTCCATGCAATGGGTATGTTAAAACCCACCTCACTGGCTTATCTGAAAGTCAATTTTATTTGATAAAATTGTCAAAAAAAATTCCTGACCCTCAGAAGGGGGAGCTCAAGAAATGTTGGCTCCGCCCATCCCCTGCTTGTGGCCTTGTTCTGTGACAGCCATTCTGGGAGGCCCCTGCATAGCGCTCAGTGCCCTTACACGGGCATGTGTCCTGTGACTGGGGCCAGAGACATCCTCAGCCAGGTTTGTAGGGTGCCTGTGTGGCTCTGGCCCGGTGGGGAGTCGGAGCTGTCTGGCGTCCATGGCCTGGGGCTGGATGAACGTGCGCAGTGGGCGCAGTTACAAGCTGCAGATGTGGTCACTTAGCATCACAGTGCTTCAAAATTCAGTGCTGAGAAAAGATGAATAAAATGATTTACAGAAGTGACAGTGATTTTTAAAATATGTATTTTTAAGTCATTTTATATCATATAACTTTCTTGAGATAACACACATGTAAGATGGCACATTTGTAGCTCTGCATAAACAGCAGACTATATTAAAATAAGTCAACAATAAAAAGCAGGATGATACTTAGCAGCGTAACAACATCCAGACACATCAACATTCCGAGCAAGACACTCAAGCTTCTGGGGAACAGCAAGGATGGGAATGATGAAGAGAACGGTGGCGAGGCTTCCACAGATCGATGGGAGGTGCTGTTTGAACGGAGGAGTTAATTTGCTCAGGTTTCTGCCCCAGTTTCTCCTCCAGAGCTTCCAGAATCTTCTGCCAGTGAAGGTGGGATCAGGAGAGAGAAGAGGGGCTGCCTGGGGTGGACTGGGCTCTGATTTCCTCTTCCACTGCACAGATCCATGTTCTGGAAGGCGGGGAGGTGAAGATCTTCAGCAGAAATCAGGAAGACAATACTGGAAAGTACCCTGACATCATCAGCCGCATCCCCAAGGTGGGCATCTGCTGCCCGCTTTCAGTGTGGTGGGAGCTGCAGTTTCCAGTGCAAAGAACAGAGGCTAGTCCGAGCCAGCTGGGATCAGAGGGACTTAGGGGGAGGAGACTGGAATGCATTTGGCTGCAAATAACAGCCCTCACAGTGGCTTAAGCGGATATTTTTTTCTCGAATCTGGCAGTGGGTGGCCCTAGGCTGGCTCAGCTATGTACCGAAGCCCTCCAGAAGCCAGCACACTTCGGGCTGTCATCTGCCAGCCCTGGCTGGTTGGTTTTTCACCCAGTGCTTCTCTTCTGATCATCCCCAGATAGCTGCCTCGCTTCCAGAGAGAGATGGGAAAGGGAGGCAACTTCCAGCTCTACCGTCCCGCGAGGAAGTCAGGCTTTCCCGCATACCTCTCACTGCCTTGCCAACTTCATCTTGGGGCCCCTGCCCAGCACGGGACCCCATGGCTACCCAAGTGCAGCAGAGGCCAGGAAGGCGAGAACCTCACTGTCTGATGGGTCAGGACTTAGAACGAGGGTGGAGAGATTCCGTCTGCAGATTGGCCTCATGGTTGAAACAGGCCGGGGCCTCAAGGGCCTCAGCCTGGGCTTCTCGGCCCCCAGGGCGGGTCTAAGACCTGCTTCAGGGGTCTTTGGTAAAGCCCCTTCCCCTGCCTGCCGCTAACTAACTAGGAAGCTGGCTCTTCCCTAAAGCAGCAAGGACAGAAGTATGTACAGTGTGGGCTGTGGAGCACTTAAGGGCCAAGCACTGGTTTTTAATGTCAGTTTTATTAATATGTAATTTCCGTAAAAGGTTCTGATTTTAATGTGTACAGTTTGATGTTTTGATACGTTCATACGCCCATGTGACCAACATAGAAAACATTTCCATGTTTCTGTCACGGAATGTTTCCTCGTGGTCCTTGCCAAGCAGCCTGCCTCCTCCGCCCCCGTCCGCGTCTCAGAGGCAGTAACCACTGATCTGCTCCTTTGTCCCACAGGTGCTTGTCTGTGCCAGAGCCTCGTGTGAGGGGTTCCATGCAGTTTGGAGCCTTTTGTATCCAGCTGCTTTGGTTCATTCATTCCACACGTACCTGGGTGTCTGCTCCACGCCCTGGCTCTCCCACAGGTGCTGGAGGCTGGAGGTGTAGCACAGAGGAGCCCGTGCGGTCTCCTTCCTCACTGGGCTCGGACCCAGCAGGGCAGGCGGACCTTCCTCAGAGGCCCACTGTCGGCTCAATCGTTACACGTGGAGATCAGGGTTCTGAGGGAAAGGACCCATTCCCTGAGCCTCTGTAAGAAGCATGTTTAACTCAGACTTGGTGTCAGGGAAGCGGGGCACAGTATGAACGGTGCCTCTTGCAGTTGTGCACCAGCTTTCATTTGAGGAAAAGAAGTCTTCCCCACTGGGTCGAAGGACAAGGACAGGCGCTGTAGAGCAAGCTGCACGTGCAAAGGCCAGGTAGTTGCATGAGCACAGCCCCTTGGGCAAGCAGAGGCCAGTGTTCTGAGTGAGTTTGAGGGGCCAGGTGAGGCCAGGGAGGGCCAGGGGCTGACCAGGCAGACCCCCACAGCTTTGGGAGCTGTGCTGCATGCTGGTTTTAGCGGGGATGCCCTGTGATAGATGGGGGTCTGCCAGGGACACACTGACTAGTGTGAGGAGAGTGGGCTTGACCGGTCAGTGCAAGAGGGGGGCCTACAGGATGACACAACCTAGGCTGGACGGGGCCCAGTGCTGTCTCGGGGATTGCCAGGGGGGAGGCAGGCAAGTCTCCTGGGAAATTGAATGTGAAGAGGGAGATGACAGAGGCTGCTGGAGTTCCAGCTTGTGGGACCAAATAGTAAGTCCTCAGGAGAGTTAGTTTTTCCCTGTCAGTGGGGAGAGGGAGAAGTGGATCTGTGTTCCTGCGTGTCTCTGAGGCTGGCATCAGTTTGCCTGTGGATCTTGACAACTGAGAAAGGAAAAGGAAATTTGCTTCTGTGTCTTATCTTTTGGCCTCATACCCTGCTTCTCACCAACCCTGGGTCTCCCTGTTCACCTTTCAGATTAAACTCCCTTCGGTCACATCCTTCATCCTGGACTCTGAAGCTGTGGCTTGGGACCAGGAAAAGAAGCAGATCCAGCCATTCCAAGTGCTCACCACCCGCAAACGCAAGGTAACAGCTCCCCCACCACCTGCCAGGGTCCCATACTGCCTCACTGTCCTTCCAGTGCTGCCCACTCCCCAGAAGAACCCGGTCAGTCAGGATGCGCTTCTTTCAGCCTTTTGCAAGATGGCTGCCCCAGCTCCAGCCATCGCATTCTCATCCCAGTATGCCACATAGGCAAATGGAAGTGGGTGGCGGGGAAGGGCTTATTTCCTACCTCTGTTTTATTAAGAAAGCAGGTCTGTTCCAGAGGCCCCCACAACCTAGAACCCAGCAAACTACTTTTCATTGTCAGAATTGTATCTTGTCACCACCATTAGCTCTAAGGGAGGCTGAGAGAGCAAATCCAGTGAAAGGGAATGACGTTGGGGTTAGCTGAGAGCCATTGAGTTAGGGATCAGTGCTCGGGGCCGGCAGCATTACTGCCCTCCCAGGTGTGCCACCTGTTAGCTGGGGAGAAGGGGAGAGTGGAAGGTGGGGGCGGGGTCTGCCTCCCGCCGATGGGAGGGGACCCAGGCGGGCAGGCCGGTCTCCATCTCACCTTCCCCAACTCCTGGTCTCCACTATCCCTCAACCCAGGAGGTGGATGCAGCAGAGATCCAGGTGCAGGTATGCCTGTACGCCTTCGACCTCATCTACCTCAATGGAGAGGTGAGTCCAGCATCACGTCAGAGTGCAGCTAAGAGATGACAGGGGTGGTGTGTGAGCTGGGGAACCAGCGGACTGAGTTGCATTTCGGACTTGCACGTCCCTGAGCTGGGAGGGCACACTCGGCGGCAGTTCCCAAAGTGCAGAGGACCACTATAGCTCCCAAGACCCTTTCAGTGGAGCCAGTCTGTGAAGCCCTTTCTTTTCCAGCTCCACCTCTGAGGTGGATTTTCTTCATGTATTGCAGCCAGAACTGCACACTGCAGCCATCTGTCTGCAGAGGCAGATACGAATCCTGCCTCTACTAAGCTGGACATTAAAGAATTAACAAAAATGCAAAATGCCCTTCCTCTCCTGTACTATTCAAAAAATACAGTCCTGTTTCATAGAAATATTTTGTTGGGTTAACATACTGGATTTACTATTTTTAAGTGAACTAATATAAGTGTTTTAAAGATTTCTTCTTTTTAATGTGGTATTGTGTGTTACAACAATTAACATATCACAAATATGGTGACTACCGAGAAATGTCACCCACATGCACAAGCTCTGCGGAGTGAGTCCTCGGTGAATGTCAGAAGTGTGAAGAGTTCCCAAGACTGGGAAGGTTGAGCGCTGCTGCCCTGGGTGTGAGTCAAGGGTCTTGGAGCCCGGCTGCCTGCATTCGTACTCGAGGTCTCTCTCCCTGGCTGTGTGGTGCAGAGGAGGGACTCAACCACTCTGAGTCTCAGTTTCCTTATTTGTAATGGAGCTGAGAGTAGCACCTGCTCTGTCTGTTACCCGGCAGGACATGGGCATGGAGCGCAGTGGCTGGCACGCAGAAGTGTGCTGTAAAATCAGCTGCCATTTCCGTCATCACCCGGATAATTAGTCTTTGGCGATCTGGTAGCTGGACAGTGACATCTGCCCTTAACACTCCGTAGTGAAGTGTGTCTCCAGACTTGTGGGCCCCCCGTGTTTGTCCTGTGACTTGCCCACTCGTGACTGGCTGTGTACTGGGCTCTCACTAGTGTCTTTCCCATCCTAAAAGTTCCTTCTCTAGGAGGCTGATTGGCACTTTGCCGGGACAGAGGAAGCCAGGTCCTCATGCTGAAAGGCGCCCAGTACCTAAACCACCCACCTTAAGATGCAAATGAAAAACAGCACTTAGTCTCAAAGCATAATTATGGGGAGACCGAGACAGTTCATGATTTTGGGGGTGGGAGGCCGGGGGCATATCAAGTATTAGATGCTTTGTCTTCGTGTTTGAATTGTCTCTGCTCTGCTGGGCCCTTTGTGCCGTGAGTGTTTTGAATGTTTCTTCTTTGGTGTTTGCCTTTAAACTTTGTGGGTGGTCTTTTTTGCTACGTAGAACTTGTTTCCAGTTGCTGTTTTTATGTAGTCAGATATATCATTTCTCCCTCCCTTAATTTTTGGCCCCAAGAGTAAAGAGAAAAAAAAGGTCATCCCTCCTTAAAACAAATGTTCACTTAGCTTTCCTTCTAGAATCTATAGTTGTGTGTTTTACTTTGAAACTTGTATGCCAGTTGGAATCTGAGCAGGTGTGTGTGTCAGTCAGGAGGTGGGCAATCCGACTCCATGTAACAGATGACAAGTCAGTTGTCTCAATATGCTATTTATTGACTGAACCTGGCTTTCTCCACTTTGCATCCTTTTCCCGTTGTCCACTCAGTCCCCGTCTGTGTACAGCATAGCTCTCGCCCCTCCCTGGTTGCACTGCAGACATTCCTCATACTGGTTCCTTCACTGTAATGATTTTAAACTACTTTCACTACTTGCCCTCCATTTAAATGGACATGCAGACTTTTTCCATCAACAGTGAGCTGTAAAATTGTCCCAAAAACATTTTGTAGCTAAAGCCGTCCTCCTTTCTTCAGCTCCTCCATCTGGCCCACCCCCTGCTCACCCCCTGCCCTGCCTGCTGGATGGTTTGCAAGGAGAAGGCTTCCTGCCAAAGTCAGCTTTGCATCTGCTCAAGCAGTTTCCAGCAGGGCTCTGCCCGACCATCAAGAGAACTTAGAGCACATGAAAGGTCACTTCGGTCAAGGCTAATAAGATCAGAAAGAGCGGGTTAATGTCCACAGGATCGCTGAGTTCGGTGTGTGATGTAACAAGCAGCGCTTTCCCACGAACTCATTCTGTCTGACTCAGCGCTCAGCCCATGAGGGCCTGTGGCTCGATCTGTCCCCCCGCCTGGCTTTGTATAGAAAGCTTAATTGGATCACAGCCATACCCATTGGCTTCGTTGTCTGGTCACTTCTGTCCTGCAACCGCAGAGATGAGCAGTCTCAACAAAGACCAAGTGGCCCGCATAGCTGAGAATATTTACTGTCTGGTTCTTTCTAGAAAAAGGTTGCTGATCCGTGGATTGAAATAGAAAATATCCTCTTAGAAACGTATTTATGTTCTATGATCCTCTAGTTGGCTCTCTTTTGCCTTTACTCAAACCAGTCATCAAGAAAAGGAGCCATAGTCGTGATGACAAGGGCATTCAAATCCCAGCAGGGCCGCGACTCCCCTTCCCTTCCCCCGATGTCACTGGATTCTGATGGTCTCCAGCCCCCTCGCTACTGAATAAGCTGGTACTTTACATTCTCAGAACCCTGCTTCAGCCTGGTTCTTCCCCTCGAGGCTTTCTATAAGCTGTAAGCTCTGTGTGACCTGTGACCCACATGCTCCCTGTTTCTCTTTGTTTGCACAATGACTTCCCTTCCTCTCCCTGCGCCCTCAGTCCCTGGTACGTGAGCCCCTGTCCCGGCGCAGGCAGCTGCTCCGGGAGAACTTCGTGGAGACAGAGGGCGAGTTTGTCTTTGCCACCTCCCTGGACACCAAGGACATGGACCAGATCGCAGAGTTCTTGGAGCAGTCGGTGAAAGGTGAGGGCACCCACTGCCTCTCCGCCAAGGTCTGTGGCCTCCCTGCCTCCTGCCCTGCTCCGGCCCCGGCCCGGGCCGCCCGGACCATGTGAGTCCCAAGGGCTTGTGCCTGTGTCTCCTTCAGACTCCTGCGAGGGGCTGATGGTGAAAACCCTGGATGTCGATGCCACATATGAGATCGCCAAGAGATCGCACAACTGGCTCAAGGTGCCCGCTCCCCGCCCGGCCTCCCGCTAGAGCCCTGGGTCTGGGAACCCTTCCCGGCCTCCCGGGCAGTCTTCTACCAGTCTCCCCACCCCCACTCTTTGAGCTCAGGAGCCCTTTCTCTGTCCCTCCTGCCTCTGTTGCAAAGGTGTCCCTCTACAAGTCCTTGTTAGCAAGTCCACCAAGAGGTGGTTGAGAACCACCTGGCTGAGTGCAGTAAAGACAGGCTGGAAAGGCGGTGAGGCCTCTGTTGTCCCAGAGCTGGCCTTCCACGCCAGGTGAGGCACAGGCAGCACGAGACCGAGTCAGGAGGGAAGAGCGCCCAAGAAAGCACCAGGGGCTGGCAGTGCTCTGGGTGATTGGCAGAAGCCTCTCCAGAGGTGACGTTTGGGTTGAGACATGATTGACAGGAAGGGGTTGGCCACGTGAAGTCAGGGGCACAGCCTCTCGGTGAGGCAAGTGCAAAGGCCCTGAAGTAGGAAGACACTTGGGTGTGCAGGGAGCACGTGATGGCAGTGCGAGGTGACGTCAGGGTGGAGAGAAGGCCCCAGATCACAGTTCTTTGGGGGCCATGGTAAAATAGAATTGGGTTTTCCTCTGAGTATTTTGGGAAGCCAGTGGAGGTTTTAAGCAGTAAGTCACATGATCTGGTTATCATTTGCACAGGTCCTCTGTGGATGGTGGGCAGGTAGTGGAGGTGCTGGGCAGAAGTGGGGGCAGCTGGGCAGGGGGCAGTGAAGAGGGGGCAGCAAGTGAAGGCAGGAGGCCCAAAGCAGGAAGTCTTGGAATTGAGCCATCTGGGCCTACGACCTGGATTTCCCTGGGTATGTGTCCGTGGTCTGTCTGCCCCAGACGGTAAGCAGCTGTGACAGCCCAAACCTTTCCTGTCTCAGGAGATTGCCACTGTTGTGTCCCCAAGGCCGAGCTGGCTGGCACTTGGACCCTTGGTTAATGTTTCTGGATGAATGCTCTGTGAGGGAGTGCGGGGAGTAGCTCTCCATGCCAGGGGAAGGGGGAATCCAGGGTGACCCTGTCTGGCCCATCCTCCAATCCTTCCTGCCCTTCCCATTGCAGTCGCCTCTTTCCATTTGCTTTTTATGCCTAGAGGCCCATCCTGAGTCTAGTCTCCCTGCCTGGCTGTCCTCAGAATTCTTTGTGGGTGTTCTCAGACTCACCCGAGTCCCTGCTCTGCCCCCCGATTAGCCTCCGTTAATGAGGCCCGCACCGGCGGCCCCTCACCTGCCTCTCCTCCTCCCAGCTGAAGAAGGACTATCTCGACGGTGTGGGTGACACCCTGGACCTCGTGGTCATCGGCGCCTACCTGGGCCGGGGGAAGCGGGCCGGCCGCTACGGGGGCTTCCTGCTGGCCTCCTACGATGAGGAGAGTGAGGAGCTGCAGGCCATATGCAAGGTGCCGGGAGCTGGGCTGACTGCAGAGGCGAGAGGGAGGGATACCCGGCGCAGCCCGCGGAGGGCCTGGGCCCGGAGGCTTTTGCATCTTCCCTGTGAGGGATTATTTTTCCTAGTTCGTATTTACTTTTTGATCCTGTAACTTTTGCTTCATATAGAAAAGTGGAGTCGTATAGAAAGATGAAGGAAGCAGTTTCAGTTTGGAATTAATTTTAGCTGCAGATAATAGTGACTTAAGCAAGAGGATACATTTTTCTCTCATGCACTGAGAAGTCTGGAGGGCAGCAGACAGCTCTCTGGTGTCATTAGGGACCCAGGCTTCTCTCTTTCCCTATAGTAATTCTTGTCATGTGCTTCTGGCCTCATCTTCACAGTGTGGCTGCAGGAGATCCAGCTATCTTTGCCATGCATGCTCCAAGCTCATGGAGGAAAGCTCATGGGCCGAGGGGCATGACACCTGAGAGTCTCAGCCAGTGAGCACCTTCTGCCTAAGTTGCATTGGTCAGAACTTTGCTCCATGGCCCACCCCCATCTGCACAGGATCTTGGGAAATGTAGTGGTTTTTGTTTTTGTTTAAAGCTGCACATATAGTTGATCCACTGGTAACATTTGAGGAAATGCTTTATTTATATTTTTACAAAGGTACAGTCCTTCTCTGTGAGTAATTTTCTGCTTTTTGCCCTATATTTTTTTTGCCCTGTAAAATACTGTTACTTTAAATGCTGTCCGATGTGTTTAAGTAGTATAGTGAGAGGAAATGTTAGAGCGTTTTCACTTGCCATTTGGGACTTTTATAAACATGACTTGAATGCTTGCGTAAGAGTTCAGGTAGACGTGTCCCATTTTCCTGCACCAGCTCCATGTGCGGGTGGTGTTGCCAGCGTTGGTCTTACGTGTAAGTCAGCACTGCACATACATTAACCCACACAGTCGGTGGTAGAAGTGATGTCACAATTCACAAGTATCTCTGGGCCCCAGCTGTCACCATGTGACGTTATTTATTTAGATTGGTTGTCTGAAGAGCCATTGCTGGGACAGATGAGAGGCTCTTTAAGGTTCTCAGGACACAAGGGCTTTCCAGTTGAAATTTTCTGTCAGTAGTTTGAAGGTGTCCATCTTGCTCTGCTCGCTGGCGGTGAGTGCTCTTGGAGCCTTGCCTGTCTGGTAGGTGAAAGAACTCTTGACAATGTTAAGATTGGAGGTGACAGCCAGTTCCGGGGAGGTGGGCTTATGGGGGAGCCCGAGGGAGCGACTTCCTGGGCCTCGGAGAGGGAAGTTGGGGGAGCAGGGGATCGTGGGGGGCCGTTGGGAGTACGGCAGGGGGAGCTGTTCCCCGTCTGGCTCTGTGGAGGGTTGGCAGACCCTCAGCGCCCCAGCCCTTCCTCTGCGGCTTCCATGGGTACTGCTTAGGCTGCAGCTGGCGGGGGGCCTCCAGTGTGCACAGACCGGATCCTCAGTGGCAGGGGAGGGACGGCCTGGCCGCACCTCTCACCTCCGCACCCTGCCCACAGCTTGGGACTGGCTTCAGCGACGAGCAGCTGGAGGAGCATCACCAGAGCCTCCAGGTGAGCTTGCGGCCTTCCCCGCTCTGTCCCGGGGAGCCTCTCGGTCTCCACCGTCTTGTGCCTCAGGATGCAATGGGGTCCGCGGGCAGTAGAGTCGGCTTTGGAGCCCAGCACATCAAGGTTCAAGTCCCAGTTCTTCTGGCCACAAGCTGGTGACGCCAATCCACGAGCCTCATCTCCTCAGCTGTGAGGGCACAGGGAGCAGGGGCAAGGCACAGGGCAGGGTGGTGGTGCCAGGTCCCCTGCATTATCCTTGCAGGGCTAGTGGAGCCCCGAGCGGTGGGCAGTTGGCCGTCGTAGTCACAGGCGCCAGGGGTGTGACTGTATTTCCTGTGTGTTGGTGTTTCCAGTCCTGTCTCTGTCTCTGTGTCATTCTTTGGTTCTCTCTCCCTGCCTGTTGTCTCTGCCTTTCATTTCTTTCCTTTTCCCACTTCCCCTCACCCGCCACCCCCAACTTTTTACTTTAAGGGGTGTCTATGTGTCTGTCTCCTCTCCCCATTTTCCTCACTCCCCAAGCCCCCAACTCTTGGCCTCGACTTGAGATGTGAGACCCTCTCTTCCTTATCCCACCACTGGCTGCAGGCCCTGGTGCTGCCCACCCCACGCCCCTATGTCCGGGCCGAAGGTGTGGTGGCCCCTGACCACTGGCTGGACCCCAGTGCCGTGTGGGAGGTGAAGTGTGCCGACCTCTCCCTCTCCCCAATCTACCCCGCTGCCCGGGGCCTGGTGAGTACCGAGGACCTGGGTGAGGCCTAAGGGGGTCCAGGTGGGAGGGTGTGGAGGGGGTCTTGGAGCCCAGTCTGTGCTTCCTGGGTGATCAGGAAAACTTGAGCTTGCATTTCATTTGAGTGTCAGATAATAGGGTCAAAGTCTTTTTTTTAAAAAAATAAATTTCACAGGAGTAGAAAGAAAACTGATACTTTTTCCTTTCATATAATCCCACATGCATCTCAGATAATTTTTGCAAACAGTTCTTTTAAGTAGACCTTTAGGACTCTTGCTGCTGGGCATTTACATCAACTCTGGCATTTCTCTCAACTGTAATTAATCTCCATGCTACCAAGTTTTAAAATTTCTTGGCTAATTTCTCTTGCTGGTGGTTCGGTCCTCAGCACCAGGTAACACGTCCCAGGGAAGATACCACCCACGACCAGGACTGGGCAGCAGACCAGAAGTCTTCAAATTGTGCTTCCTTTGCCATTTCTTCTGATCCTTCCAACTCTAGCACATGCTTTTCTGATTAGAAGCGGACTTCCACTTTAAGGCAGAACTTGTATTTTTTATCTAACTTCTTTTCTGAAATTTCTTACTCATGTCACACTTAGAAACTCAGAGTCCCTGGTGCCAAGTGGTGGGAACAGCGTTTAGCAAGCATGGGAAGCGGGCATTTTGTGATGAGCACATAGCTTGCATACACTCATCCCCCCAACACTGACACCCCCATTTTACAGATGGCAAAGTGAGCCCCAGGGGGCTTAGGTAACTGGCCCAGGGTCACACTCCTCCTGAGACGGGGAGCTGGGACTTGACCCTGTGCTCTGCTTCTGGCATCCACACCCTGACCCTGGGCTGTTCTGCCTCTCGGCCCTCGTAATAGGAGCAGCATAAATAGCAGCTGGCGTTTCTGTCACGTACCAGGGACATCCTTGGCTCCTGATGACCTCATTGAACCCTTACAATCCTTTCTTAGCCCCGTGGTGTGGATCAGGAAACAGGCAGAGGTGCAGGGGGCCGGACCAGACTTTGGACTAGGGGGTTGCCGTGGGCTGGGCCTCGGAAGGCCTTCCATCACGGCCCGTGCCTCCCCAGGTCGACGATGAGAAGGGCATCTCCCTTCGCTTCCCGCGGTTTGTGCGCGTCCGGGAAGACAAGAGGCTGGAGGAGGCCACCACCAGTGCCCAGGTGAGGACCTCGGAAGAGGGGCGGGTGCCCCATCGTAGACTCTGGCCCTGGGGCCTCTGAGCCAACCACCTCCACCTCTCTCCTCAGGTGGCTTGTCTGTACAGGAGGCAAAGTCAGATTCAGAACCAGCAGGACTCAGACTTAGACTCTGACCTGGAAGATTTCTACTAGGCCCCTGCCCTCCCAGGGGCGGGGCGCAGGCGGGTGCCAAGGTGGAGGGGACCTGGGGACATCACTTCCGCTGTTCAGAACGTCTGGTGTTGCAATCTATGTGGGTTTTGAGAGTCGGGTGTGTGTGGCAGGGGGCACGGTTCAGGCTGGGCTTTGGGATTTATTTGGTCTTTTTCTTCAATAAATAATTATTGAACACCTATTCTTGTTCTGAGGTCTGTGCTGGGCTCTGGGGTTGCAGATCTAATAGCTCATCCTTAGGTCGTGTAAGCTAGCGCCTTCCCATAGAACTGGCTGCACAATAGAAGTGTTCTACATCCACACTGACTTACTGCAGTCTCCAGCCACGTGCAGCTGCCGAACACTTGAAATGTGGCCGGTGCTGATGAGGACTGGAATATTTTATTTTAATGAATTTTCATTTAAATAGCCACATTTGGCTAGTGGCTCTTGAATTGGACAGTGGCAGTCTAACGTCTGTATGTAAACACGTACAGCGCCCAGCAGTCCTCCTGGGCGGGCACTGTTGAGACCCCAGGCTTACTGCTGGGGACAGAAAAGCACTGCGAGGGAAGTGGCTTATCCAGGGCCGCAGCCGGGGTCCCACCGCCAGGGCAGACTCAGCAGTCTACCTCTAGGCCCCACACCTTCCAGACATGGGCCCCACCTCCTCGGGAGACACGCAGTGACTTGTATGAGACCCAGCTCTGCCACCCACAAACGGGTGACCGGGCCCGGCCTCAGAACCCTTGGCACAGTTCTGTTTTTTCATCCTCATATCCCCAGCTCCCGGCACAATGTCCTGACTGTATAGTTGGTGCTATTTTGCATGATCAAAAAGGAGACCTGGTTGTGGCAGCCCTTATTTTCTTTCTGTGTTGACTCTGGATATGATGGTTGGAGCTGGGGGTGCCACATTGTGATCATGAAGAATAAGCCAGGAGAGTCACAGAGCAGAGAGCCCTGACAGCTGCCAACTGGTGAACCAAGGGCAACAGCCGCCTAACTTGGCTTCTTGTCATGGGGGTGGGGGAATAACTAACCAAATCCCAGTGTGATTACACCACTGTGAAAATGGTTTTTGTTTCCCAAGATCTACTTTGAAAGACTGGGGAATTAATGTGCATCCATATTTTTCAAGTTCAAATAAAACGTTTGAAGCAAAGCAGTATTTGATTAGGTAAATATTGTATGTCTGGGAATCCCTGTACCTGTCTGGCCCATGGCCCCTGTGTTCTTTTAGGCGTAGAACCTGGTCTTCCTGAGGAAAGCCAGGCCAAGGACACAGTCTTCCTCCTGGGCAGGGAGGGATGTCCTCGGTCATCAGTGACCCTCGGAGCAGCCCCACCAGGTAAGTGTTTTTATTATCCCCATTTAACAGATGAGGACACAGGCATGGGACGGAAGTTACTTTCCCTGGTCCACTACCTAGGACACGGAAGGCCAGTGTTGGACCGGGCAGTCTGCATGGGGCCCTGCCCTTGCAGCCACTAACCTCAGTGCCTGTAGCCTGTGTGCCCCCGAGAGGAGGTGGAACCTTACCCTGCAGGCAGGCAGGTGACTGTAAGGTCTGGGAGTGAGAAGCCATGCTTTTGGCAGGAGTAGGCGGGCACCGAAGAAGTGAGCCTGGAGATGGAGGAGCAGAGAGACCACCTTCCCCCTGGTGAAGGCCGCCTCTTCTAAAACTTGATGGAAGCCATCCAGGAGAGGCGACCTTGGGCTCTGGGCCGAGTGGGCAGGAGGGCAGTGGAGGTTGGCAGGAGCAATAATTCACGGTTCCAGACAAACCCAAATGCATCATTTTGATTTGTCACATTACTGGTGTTTATTCATTCATTCATTCATTCATTCATTTATTTATTTATTTGGTGTTTATTTTGATAGTTTGATTAAGGTGGTGTCTGCCATGTGTCCCCCACTATAAAGTGACACTCCTTTGGAGTTAGTATTTTGTAGAGGTACTTTAAGCAATATAAATAAATGCTACCAAAATTTCCACCTATCTTTTCATTTACATCTGTATGAGCTCCTGGTTTCCTATACATTTTATTATTATTTATTTTGATTTTCATGTTGCCCCTAATATGGCCAATGAAGATTCTTCAAGCTGACCTCTGTGTTCTTGTGACATGTCCCCGTAACTCTGAGCATGTTCTTGCTTTATGGCACAAGATAATTTAGTCTCATACTTGTCCTGCTCCAGACATGGAATCAGCCATTTCTCCTAGTGTCTTGGTTACTTTGAGTGGAGAATGGTTCTTAGAAGTCAAGATCTGGATGCTAGAGGTGTTCATTAACATGAGGCTGTCACTCCTTCTGTGTCCTCTTAGCTAGAGGACGTAGTATATGTACCGATGCCCCTACAGTGACATTTATGTTCATATCCCTCTGTATGCTGGAATCCGCAAGTACCAGTGACCTCAATTCCAGTCCAGTCCAACAGTGGGAAACCTGCTTACCATTATCTTTCATACAAGCCTTGTGTGTAACCAATCTCCCTCCTCCATTGCCATCCCCCCCTCGTGGGACACCTCTATTGCCCCAATCTGGCTGCAGCGCCCCACCCTGTGCTGCCCCCCAGGGAGTAGACATGTTCAGTGCAAACTCCACCCCAGGCAGCGTGGTTCCTGCAGGAAGAAATCCTCCCTCTGCTCATGCCACGACATCCCACCGTGCTTTCCCCCTGAATTAGGAAGAAAGGAAGGAAAGGATGAGCAGAGGAAGAGCAGATACCAGCCTTCTAATCACCCGGCACGCCTGCTTCCTGAGGTCAGGTTGTCATTCAGTCCTTGCGTGCTGCTCGCTGGCACGCGTTCCTGACTTCCTCAGGAGCTCTTGAGGCCAGAAGCCGTGTCCTCCCTATCTTCACGCGTCCCAAGGTCAGCAGAGGCCAGGCTTAGAGTGAGCACCCTGCATGCTTGTGGAGCATCACGTGAATGCATGCCCTCTGCTCTAATCCTCATTTTTGAAACTATCTTTCCAATTCCATTCTGGGGATAAAAGGTCAGAGCCTGAGACTGGCTCCCCATCCATCTCACTCAAGCCAGATGGGGAGGCAGGAACAGCTCTGATCCCTCCCCAACCTGAGCAGGCATTTCCGACCCAGCTGTCACAGCTGTAAGATGCAGGGACCGAGGGAGAGGCCAAGAGAGGCAGGAAGAGTTGGCGGAAGAGTGCTAAGAGGAGAGGAGGAGGCCGATCCTCCAAGGGACCCGGGAAGGAGAGGGAGCCTACCTGAGACGGTGACCCGTGACCCCTGCCCCGCCCCCTCCATGCAGTTTCCCATGGGCCCCGCCTGCATCTTCTTGAGAAAAGGCATTGCTGAGAAACAGCGGGTGAGGCGGAGGATTACAGGGAAGGCTGATGGGCAGGGCAAACGGAGCTGGGAGGCAGGGGAAAGGGGGCGGGATGGGCGTAGTGGGACAAGAGGGAAGATGGGGGGCAGCGTGACCTGAGAAAGTAGAGAATCCCAGGGCGCCTTCTGGGGACGTGGCCAGTGAGATGGGTGGGTGTGAAATCGGAAGTCAGAAGCAAAAGGGTGATAGAGGAGAAATAAAAATAAATGGGGACCTGGGGTGATTTCATCATTGGTGATTGTCATACTTTTCTGTGGGCGCCCCCAGTGACGACAAGGCTGGCGATAACAGCTGCCACTTCGCGAGTCACTGCTGTGTGCCCAGCCCTGTGCCTAGGGCTTTGCGTTCCTCCTATCATTTAGTCCTCAGAACCAATCAGTAAGGTTGTAGTACTTTGATTCCCATTTCACAGATGAGGAAACTGAGGCTCTGAGTCATGAAGTCCCTTGCTTTAAGCTTATGCAATTAGAAAGTGGCAGGGCCAGGCCTGTTTGATTGCAGTGGGGATGCTTTTAATTGCTAGGCTTTAAGATCATAGAGCATTTATGGGGGAAAAGGTCATAAGAGAAGTGAGGAAAGGTTCCAAGGAAAAAAGGAGATGAGGGGGTGAAAGATATAAGAGGTTGGTGGAATTTCCTCAGTATCCAAGCCTGACCCTCAGGTATGTCAGGAGTGGGTAGTGTGATCAGTGATTGGGAATTCTTAAAGGTTTTAGGAATTGGTTTTGCTGGCAGTGATCGTCCCACCTGGATGAACACTAGTCCCACGCAAGGGGATTCCAACCCTTGGGAGAAAGGGTGGGGATGGGGGAGAAAGGGTGGGGATGGTGGAAAAAGAATTACTGGGTGTAGTGGATGGAATTGTGACCTGGACGTCAGGAGCCAGGCATTCAAACCCAGGGCTCACTGCACAGGACTTGCTGCATGACCCCGAGGGAGAGAGTTAATATCTCCCAACCTTGGGATCTGCCACTTAGGAGCTGTGTGACCTTAGACAGGTTCTTAACCTCTCTGTCCTTCTGCTTCCTCTTAAATGGGATGAGAATATTAGGCTCTACCTCATAGAGTGGTTCTGAGGTTTAAATGAAACCATCGGGGCAGCCGGGCACTGAGTCAGCGCTCTGAGTGTGTTAGCCGGGGTGCGAAGCCTCACCTTCTTCATCTGGAGCATAAAGGACCGGATTCCGTGGCCTCTGGGATGGATGTCTATTTGGGAAAGACAGAGGGAGAGAGGAAAGGAGAGAGGAAGAGGGCAGGAAGCTGAGAGCCGTGGAAGAGGAGCCAGGAGATGGGAGGAGGAAAATGAGGGGTCCCGAGGAGCAGGGGTGGGAGGGGAAGCAGGAAAGGGGGAGGAGTAGCTTGGGAGGATAAGGGGGCCTGTTTGGAAAGGCGGATGCTGGCTCCCTAATCCCCCCTGCAAACCGCCTCTCCCCTGCCTGCATTCCTCTCTAGGAGCGACCACTGGGACAAGATGAGATTGAAGGTAACACTCTCCTCCAGATGCCCCCACCCTCCGCCCACCCACTATCCCGCTGTTCCTTTGTGCATTTCAGGGTAAAACCCTTCCCATGAATATTTTATATCCCTCTCTCCACTCAACAGTGATTTTGTGGAACTCTTTCTCATGGCACTGTAGGCACCTCCCAAAGTATTTAGACGGCATACCCATCCCCAAATGTCTCAGAGACCCCAGAGTGACAACATGAATTTTAAGACGCATCAAAAATTGTTGGTTCTTCTTTTGGTGGTTTTGAGGTTTCCCATAACTTTACCCCAAAATCTGAAAAACCAGTGCTTATCACATAGTGGTCTCAGGAATCATTTCTCTTGCTAACGCAGTCCAAACTTTGCTCCTTTTTGAAATGTTTAAACCTGTATTCTCCTTTGAAGAACCTATAGTTGATGCCTCATTAATGGTTTCAAAAAATGCCCCTCTTCCCCATTGACTGTTTCAAATTCCCCCAGAGTTCTCTCTTAACTTTCAGAGCTTCGGGAAGCATTTCTTGAGTTCGACAAAGACAGAGATGGGTTCATCTCTTGTAAGGATTTGGGGAATCTCATGAGGACAATGGGTTACATGCCCACGGAGATGGAACTGACTGAACTGGGCCAGCAAATCCGCATGAACTGTGAGGCTTGGGGCAGGGAATGATGGGTTAGGGGAGGCCTAAGGGTGGAGGTGGGAAGGATATGGAGGCAGAGAGTAGAACTGGAGATAGGGAAGAGGGTAGGAGGGACTGGAGGTCTGGAGGGAAACAGTTCAGACTGTACTTAGTACATCTGGCTTCAAGTCCCTGTTCTATTATTTACTAATTTTGGCCATGTTGAAAAATGGAGTTAACCCCTACTCTTGAGTCTCAAGTTTTCCCATCTGCCAAGTGGAGATGATATCACTCCTTACTTTGTGAGACTGTGAGAAGGAAGGGGTAAAGGTGCTAATGCAGGCAAAGGCTTAGCCTCCAGTCAGTGATTATTAAACATAGGTTGTAAGATTACAACTGTATTTGATTTGGAGTTTGAGCTAATGTTGGTGAAGAGGGTGTTGCAAAAAGGGTGGATTTTTAGGTGGAGACCAGAGCTGATTTTGAGATGGAAGCTGGGACAAAATTGCCATTGGGTTTGCTTCTGGGCATGTTACTGAGCAAACAATTCAAGGACAAGACAGGATTCATATCTGGGAGAGATCTGGTGCTCATTTTAATTCATACTGTCCCTTCTACAGATCTGTAGACCAGGGAACATAGATCTGAAGCAAGAAAGAGATCTGTTCAAGGTTACTCAGACAGTTAGCTATCTCCACCCTACCACGCACTGCCCACCCCATTCAGATGAGAGGGTGTAGAGGGCTTGGGTTGGCTGAGAGAGAAAGCTCTTAGAAGGCAAAGAGATTGGAACAGGATTTAGTTCTTGAACAGGCTGAAAGGTAAAGTGAGGTAATGGAGGGATAGGGATATGGAATCTCACTGGACCTGCCTCTTCTGTCCTCAGTGGGTGGCCGTGTAGACTTTGAAGACTTTGTGGAGCTGATGACCCCCAAATTGCTTGCAGAAACGGCTGGGATGATTGGTGTCCAGGAGATGAGAGATGCCTTCAAGGAAGTGAGTTAAGAGTTTCAAAATGTTGGAGGTAGTTGAAGGAGACCCCAGAGGCCTACGACTCATCTTCCACCACGTATAGAGCCTACCTAAACCAATTTTTTTCTAACTGTGGTGGGATATTTGGGGTTGGAAAATAACATATTCCACTCACTTGCAATGGACAAGGTCCTCTACATATTTTATCTGTTTAGTCCTCACAGATACAATAGGAATAAGCAATTGATGTCAACCATGCATATGAGGAAACAGGCTCATGGAAATTGCAAATCTTATCCAAGATCCTGCAATCTCCAGATTCATGTTAGGACCTCTAATGTTCATGCCTATATAGGAAGAAGGCATCCAAGAATTTGAGATCCTAGAAGGAAACTCAAAGAAATAATCTCTGGTTTAACCCACTTGTAGAGATGCTTAAAAAATGAGACCAGGGAAGCGTCAGGGACTTGCTGAAATTCACTTACATTCCCCTGGTGCTTTTCTCAGAGAGCTCTTAACTCCCTGGGGCAAAAATAAAAAATAGTTGAGTGTTTGAAGGAAAGACTCTGGGGCCAGGCAAACAGGGGTCCAAATCCCAGAGAGATCACCTCCTACTAGCTGTGTGATTTCCTCTCCCAGCTTCATATAAAGATCGTGAGCTGACCGTCCAATAGAACTTCCTATGGTCATGGAAATGTTCTGTCCACAGTGGTAGCTATTGGCTACTTGTAGCCACTGAGCCTTTGAAATACAGCGAGTGTGACTGAGGCACTGAATTTTTAATTTTATCTGATTTTGATTCTTTGCAGTTAATTACTTCATTTCCACTTATATTCAATTCAATATAAATTCAGTTCATTTAAATGTAAATATGAATCCTCAATTCAACTGTTGGAAAACAATTGTTTGGAAAAACTTGGATATTTGACTCTTTTCAACTAAACTTCTTATGAAATCGAAATACAGATTATTGCTGAGAACATTTAGTGTCTGAACTGAGAAGTGCCATAAGTGTAAAATGCACCCTGGATTAAGACTTAATATCCTTAGCTTAAGAGTGCTTACATGATGAGTATGTTAAAAGTACTTAGTAGGTAGTGCACTGAGTCTTATGAAAGCCTGTGTGTAGCAAAAGAATGTAACATAGCTCATTAATGATTTTTAAATTGATTACATGCTGAAATCGTGTATTTGGGATACAGTGGGTTAAGAAAAACCAATTATTAAAAGTTAATTGCACTTGTCCCTTAAACTTTTTTTTAATGTGGCTGCTAGAAATTTAAAAATTACTTGAAAATTAAAATTTTACAATTGCCGAGGCTCGTGCGGTATTTCTACCAGATGGTTCTGCTCTGATGGAGTCATAGTCCAGGTTGGGGAGGCAGCAGGTCCAGATGCTGCGAGGCAGGAAGGGATACCTGAGGATGAGCGAGAAGCCGGGCAGTTTGGAGAGGCTTGAGCTGGAGAGAGGGGAGCAGGAAATCAACAAGGCCGAAGTTGCCGGAGGCAGGGCCCCTTCGGGAAGGAGTCTGTGTGTCCCGCAGCGCTGCCCTGGAGTGAAATAGGAAGCCGCTTAGGAGGATCTTCAGCAGGGGAGTGACAAGATCTGATTTATATTTGAAACGAGCATGAGTGTGAGGCCCTAAACTGGACAACAGACGGTAGAGGATCATGAGGGGAGAGGAAGTCAGCAGACCAAGCAGGCGGCTGCCGTGACAGTCCAGGCGGGAGGTGATTGTGGCCAGCAAAGGATATATTTTGGAGATAGAACCTAGGCGACGTCCTGATAGATTGCCTAAGAGTGTACAGTGCAGAGGTTCGGAGGTGGTTCGTTAGTTCAACATTTACCCAGTGCTACTGTGTGGAAGATGCTGTTTTGGGGACCACGCGCGGAGCAGTGAACCACACAGCCAGAGTCAGCTGCCTTCAAGGAGCTGACATTCCAGTGGATCAGTGCAAACGCTCTTAGCTGAATTCTTGACTCACAGCAAGTGATCCGTAAATGCTGCTACTGTCACTGTGGCACTGCTGACTTGAGCCCCTTCTGCTCCCATTCAGTTTGACACCAACGGGGATGGGGAGATCACCCTGGTAGAGCTGCAGCAGGCCATGCAGAGACTCCTGGGAGAGCAGCTCACCGCCCGGGAAATCTCCGAGGTGGTTCAGGAAGCCGATGTCAACGGAGACGGCACTGTGGACTTTGAAGGTGACCTTGTGTGGGCGCAGCCACTGCGGGATCCACCTCCCACTCCCCCGGGGGGCCTTCCAAGTCAGCATTCCCCCCCACTCTTCTCCCAGATCGGGTCTGAAGTGTGGGGGAGGCAGTGCGGTAGGTTTTTGGAAGTGTTTGTTCCAGCCCTTTCTGCCCACGTCGCTTCCAAGCACTCATGACTCACAACCCGCCTTGTGTCTGCACCTGGATGCTCCTTGGAACACCTGGTCCAGTGGCCCATGCCTTCCCACACTCAGGCGGGGCTCCCTTCCGCCACCCCCACCCCTTCCTGTTCACCGGCGCCTTTGTCCTGGGAACAAAATGTCCCATCAGAAGAAGAGGGGACTAGTCGGTAGGTGGGACGCAGGTCAGATTCACGGGGTTCAAATTCAGGATCGTTTTTTAGGAATCACGTGGCCCTCTCCTGTCTCTTACTTGCCTGAAGTGCCAGTTTGCACACCTGGAAAGTCAGGGGAGCGATGACATTTCTTTCTCCCAAAATTTTGGAGAAAACTGCAAGAAGTCACACCCTCAGCGCCCCCAGTCTGTCATCGCGCACGTCAGTTGTCCTGTCTGGACCACCCTTTCCCCTTTCCGCTGGCTAACTCTGAGTGACGTTCCTAGAAGGGGCCCCCACGCTCTCAGCAGGCTCAGCGCCCCCTTCTGTGATCCCCTAACCCCTACGCATGCCTCTGCGGTGACACTGACCCGTGACATCATGATCGCTTATGATAGATTGTTACCTGCTCCCCTCTGAGGCCACCGACTCAGTCTGTCATCACTCCATCTTCAGTGTCTAGCACAGAGCCCAACACGTGTGCATTGAACAACTGGATAAAGGAGACAGATTGGAGTCCTGTGTGGATGGGAGCGCACATCTTTTTTATGGGAGGCATATAAGGGCTCGTCAGGTTCTAATGGCGACGCACTCTGGTTCAAAAATCTCAGCCTCTAACTGCTGCCTGTATAAAACCCCCCAAATTCTCAGTCTGATACTCAAGTGATTCAACCCCACCTCATCTTCCACAACCACTCTCTGAATTTTGATTCCCTGGTGCAGGCGTGGTGCCTGCCCCATGTTCTCCGACTTCTGTTCCCTCCTTCCTCAGGCCCCTTCCACGTAGCACACCTTTGCCGTGCAGCCAGCACCTCTTCAAATCTCCGTCCCCCAGTGCGGCCTCTGCTAGCGAGCTTCCCTGCATCCCTAGCTGGGTGTTTTACTTCCAGCTGGGAGGCCCTACAGAGGCTTGTCGCTTCCTCTCCAAAGGAAGTGAGCACTGTAGACCTTAGCTATGGAATTGCCTCCCATGCTGTCATTTCCTGGAAGGCAGTTGGAAACCTTCTCGGAACCATCCCTGCTCAGTGATGCCCAATACCGACACTTAGCAGACGTTTGTTGCATGGCTGTAACTCCCTAACTGTGGGCTGGATGCCTGCTGGGTCCAGCCAGGCTCAGGTGCACGGTGGGTGTCAGCGAGGATCTGAAATAGGTAGGAGACGGATCTTTGAGGAGACAGATCCTTGGGGCAGCGACAAGCAAGGGAAGGATGGATTGCCCCCTGAGCCCTGGGCAGGGCCAGTAAGTCCATCTGGCATCAGACCCAGGAGGCAGGCCGGTGTCCCCTCCATGGCCGATGCACCATCCACAGGCCCCCAGGCGTGCTGGTCCACCTCACTGGCCTCAACTTGCTTATCTGTAAAATGCTATTTACCCCTCTAGGGTTGATTGAAAGATGAAATAAGATACTCACGATTATTTATTTATTTAACTTAATGTGTCTAATAAGCATTATATTGTTTAACCATCTTAAAAACCACAGAGGGTAAGTGGCAATCCTGTGGTTCCCAGTCTGGAGATGCAAACTGCAGCGTAGACGGGTCACGGCCCTTCCCAAAGGCTGTCCGAGGCTCCCGACACAAAGGAAGGACCCAGAAAAGTATTGTCAACTGCTCAAGTAGGCGCCTCACCAAGATCTCTCTTTGCAGAGTTTGTGAAGATGATGTCTCGCTGAGGAGGTCCCGGACGCCCCAGTTACTCGGCACTCGGTCACCACGGAGCGCATGCGTGGGAAGGACCCAAACTCCGGGGCCCTCCAAGGAGAGCGGGAGGGTGGGCATCTGAGGGGCGGATGGACTGAGGTCAGACCGAGCGCAGCACCTTTCCTGGATTGGAGGAGGGGGTGCGGCTCTAGAATTAGAAAAAGAAAGGGAGTCTGCGTGGGAACGTGAGGGGTGTGGGGGTCCCACTGCCACTCCCAAAATACCACCAGTTAAGGACGTCTTTTGACTCCATGTAATCCTCAAGCCCCGTGACCTGCCAGGCTGCCCCACTACCTTCCCTTCACTCACCAAACTGTCCAAAAATTCAGCACACAGCCTAGCTTCCTCCCTTCCTGCCTCAGATCCCTTCCGTTTCTCTCATTAAGGGAGAGCTTGTTGATCACGAGCCAGAAACAAGGGTCTTGCTAAGACAGGGCTTGGAAATGGTTAATTAAAGAGGCATCAGAGTCAGCTTACCCGGGTTTTCTTGATTTCCTGGAAATAGAGTCTTTTTATTCCCCTCTGGCCTCCCACGCCCTTCTTGCTATGTGAGATACTCAGCCACTGAATTAAACCACAAATCTGGATTATCAAGGTTTAGGGCAAGCTGATCCCCAGGGAATTAATCCCTCCACAAAAGGTCATTATGCAAAGAGAGGGCGAGGTCCTCCAAATCCTCAGCTCAGCCGGGTGATTGGGATGCCTTTCCCAGAAGCCCCCCCACTTCTGTGTCTGTCTGTCTATTCGCCCTGGGCTGCTCGGGGAGACCGTAAGACGGGCAGCAAGTCCACCCCTCACCCCCCGACACCTGTCTGTGCCGTGCAACTGGAAAGACCCTGTCCCCCTCACCTCTGCCCGCGGACAGGACATTTTAGTAACACAAAGGTCCCCACTCGAAAGACTTCATGCCGTGCCTTCTGCCAAATTCTTCTCACCTTTTATGTCCACTGAGTAGTTGTGTAGAACAGGTCATCTGGTCCACCAGCCTCATTTCATCAACAATATTTTAAATTGAAAGAAGTGGGACCAGAGGATTATTTCCTAACCTCTTACTGGGGCCACACCCTTTTGTCCCTTGGCACTACCCCGAGTCCCATTTCCTTTTAAGCTGCACGTCCCCTCCTCCTTCCTGCCCTTCTTTCCATCATTCATTCCCTCCTGCTTCCTTCATTTACTCAGCAGCAACGTGTGAAGTGCTTGCTGTGTACAGAAGGCAGTCGTCCAGGCCTGGGGCTGCAGCAGTGAATAGAATAGAGCAAAACCCCAGGCCTGGGAGCCTGCATTATAATGGGAGAGGACAAGGTGAATGAGTGAACAGTATTTGGACTGTTAGAAGGTGGTAAGAGATCCCGAGGAAAACCAAGCAGGAAGGGGGTTTAAGAGGCCCTGGGAACGGGGTGGGGAAGGTGCCATTCTATAAAGGGACATCGGCATCATTGAGCACCAGGGACATTGCTGGGAAGAGCGTTTCAGACACACCGCAGAGTGAATGCAGAGCTGGCTGTGGAGAAATAGCCAGGAGACCAGGGTGGCTGCAGAGGCGTAGGGGGCAGGGGTCGGAGTGGATCGGGGGTGAAGTCATGCAAGTACGTTCTTAGAGGCCGTTCTGGGGGCCTTGGAGGGTTTTGAGCAGTGGAGTGACATAACCCAGATCACCTTTAGATAGCAGCTTCGGCCACCTCGGCTCCAGCCCATCCCGTCGTCGCCCCCACCCCTCCTTCACTCGCCTACACAGCGGAGCATTTGCTGAGTCCCTGCCCCACGCAGATCGCTCGCCCCAGCCAGGCAAGTCCTTTGTTGACAAGGGATCTGGTGGCCCGTCCGTCTCCACCACAGGACCTTTCAGCTGTGTGACGTGAGAAGGAGAGGAAGGGAGGGCGAGGGGGCCGAGACGCCAGCGCGAGCAAGGCCCGCAGGCTGCAGGGACTTGAGGGTGGCGGGTGAGGCGGGCAGTGGTGGGGAGTGGGATGAGGGAAGGAGCTGTGGGGTCGGGGGCTTCCTCCGGCACGTCTGTATGTGACGGAGGGAAGGTCTGTCCTCTGCTTGGTCCTGAGCTAACGTGAGAAAGACCCCCCACTGAGTCTTCAGGCTTCTCACGGATCTGTGCAACATCGTTGTGATTTGACAATCAGATTGGTACTGAATGAGGCTGAAGGGCTCCGGTCTGTTCCTGATGTCTGGGTTCAGTGAGGGACAGTGGGAGCAGTTGCTCAGAGTGTTTTGGGGGAAGAGGGAGAAGGGCAACATTGTAAGGCTGCATCTGGGTTCACAGGGAAACAGATTCTGTAATCAATTATTGATGCCTGATACATGCACGGAGATGGGAGAGTTGGAGCAATCTTGCAATGAACTTACTACCCTCTATTTACTTACTAATTTATTTATTCATGATTTAATAAGTACCTACCGATGCTTGCCCCCAAACCTGTGATTCCCCAGAAAGAGATGGCAGGCTGCAATTACTTCCAAGGGTCCCTGGTCTGAAAATCTGATCTCCCCGTCATGAGGCTCACCCCCAAGTCACTACTGATTCCTTCACCATGCGTTTGGATCCCTAGCCATCTCTGTCATTCTAGAAATCACAAAAGGCCGCCCCCGTGTTGATTTTGGGCTCCTTTACTGATGGTCACGCTGCGCTTTGCCGCCTCCTCTTCCCAGAGGGCCAAGTGATGAAGCAAAGTGGCGGACGGGGTGATTCTAAGGGTGATGATCTCAGCTTGAAAGATGCGACGGGAAGGACAAAACAGCTTCCAAGATTTAATATGTCAGTCTTGCTCTGGAGATGTTTCTCCTCCCCTTGAAAATAGAACCAAAAGCCAGTGTTCAGTTAATAGGTATGACTTAAAATGTAGCGTGAGTAAACGTGTGACTTTGTCTTGATTTTCAAGACTCAGGCAGAATAAGATGAAGTCAGTCAGTTAGCAGCGAGTACCTCGACCGCACCCCAGTCATAATGGCTTTGGTGGGAGAGGGACCTGCAAGAAGCTAGTTCTGCCCCAACAGACGGAAGCTGGAGGCTGGGCGCTAAAACTGCTCTTAGTTCCGGTCACAGACTGGGGACCACTGTGGGCAATTTTTAATACCCACCCTGTTAAGATGGCACCCAGAGACCCAAACGCACACCTACTCTTCTCCTCTCTCCAGGGAAGATCATTTTTGCTGCCAAGCCAACATTCAGGAAGAGTCACTGATTTAGTGTCCACCGTAAGCCACACGCATCGTAAGGGCAAATACCGCCAGAACCGCCAGAGTTGTCCACACATCTGATGAAAAGGTTTCTGTTTAATTTTAAATTCTGAAATTACAGTGATAAGTCAGCCAATCCCTGCAGGAGGGCTAGAGAGAATTTCTACAGGCTTTAGAATACTGAAGCCAGAGGAACAGATCAGAGAAAAGGAAGGGATAGTCGGTAGCTTATAGGTTGAAGTGGGGGAGGGGCTGGAATGGTGGGGCAGAGAAGCGAGCCCCATCTTTTCCTCGGACAATGATGGGGGTAATGGATCGACAGCGTGGTGCCCTGGCTTCTGGGGAAGTCTTGGTTATCGCCTTTCAAGTTTGTCTTTTTATCTCACACTTCAGTTTGAGAAATTCCAGCTCCCTAATCTTCCACACCCAAAGCCTCCCAGACCTGACGCTCGGAATGATACCTTTTCGGGTCTGAAAGAGTTCACCCACCTTCTCCCCCTACTCTCCTGCTCGGCAACAGACATCCCAGTTTCTTCTAGCCTCTAATTTGGGAAGTTGTCCAGTCATTCCCCTGCTCCTTGACTCCGCCTCTCCTGGTCTCTGGGAAGTGGAGGTCACCTTGCTGGGAATCTCAGCAAATCATGTTGGAACAGATCTCACCCTCTCATCAGTGGTGCCCCAGGTGTGGTCCTTGACCTCTTCTTGACGTCAGCAATGTCCCCAGGTGTGCTGTCTACCTGTTCATCAGCGGTGCCCCAGGAGTGGTCCTTGACCTCACCTTGACCTCAGCAATGTCCCCAGGTGTGCTGTCCACCTGTTCATCAGCGGTGCCCCAGGTGTGGTTCTTGACCTCACCTTGACCTCAGCAATGTCCCCAGGTGTGCTGTCCACCTGTTCATCAGCAGTGCCCCAGGTGTGGTCCTTGATCTCACCTTTGCATCAGCAATACCCCCAGGTGTGGTCCCGGCCGTAGGTGTAGGAGATTGCACACCATAAAAGGTTCTCCTTCGATCCTGTGTTAGTGCAGTTAAAATAATTCTTGTTTTCGTAGTTGAACGGGAAGTGGCAGGGAGGGCCAGGAGCCAAGGAGGGAATCCATAGGAAGGGAAAGGGGACATGGCAGGGGTTACTCCCGTGCCTTTATGCTGTCGGGGTGGCTTAGGCTTCAGAGCCCACCCTAAAATCAGAATTAGGGGCACAGTGTGTCCTGTCGTGTGGGCACTGCTCAGAGGCTCTCGGAGGAGCAAGACGCTGGCTTAGACCTTAAAGTCAGAGGAGGTTTCCTCTCTCCGAAGCTACTGAGTTTAGGACTTGCTGGGGGTGGGGATGGTATCAAGGAATGGATGGGGATGGGCCGAGGGGAATGGGCAGCACGCATGGGACAGATGGCAGGGAGTCCTCTTTATGCGCACATCCCGGATCTGCTAATTCATCTACTTGCTACGACTCATTTGGAACCCCCAAATCAATACTTGCCAGGCTTCTGCCATCGTCTGTGGACACACAGAGAGGTGAAAATTTTGGAGTCGCCCAACACCCACCTTCCTCACTGAAGTCCTACAGACAGAGGCCTGTCTGGTGGTTTCAGCTCCCATGCCGGACACAAGGGTCCCCCAAAAGCAGTCCCTCCGTTTTTGCCTTTTTTTGTTGGTGATTTTTAAAATGGTCCCAAGCATAGCACTAAAGTGCGAGCTAATGTTCCTGAGCCAAGAGGCCTTGTGATGTGCCTTTGAGGAGAAATACATGTGTTCAAAGGGTTTCTTTCAGAGACCAGCTATAGCGCTGGTGGCTGGGAGCTCAATATGAACGAACCAACACTATACATGAGGTAAGGTGCTTTTTGGCAGAAATACACCTAAAGCACGTTATGTACTGATCAGTTGCAAAAAACGTGATCACAGGCTCCTAGGAACCTGGTTTCCCCTAAAAACTGTGGCTCGCTTTTCGCCAGTTTGGTTTTTGAGGTGACTTTTTAGAACTTAACTCTTCAGGAATGAGAACGGATTGCATCTTCCAGTGTGAAGCACTCTCAGTCATACCTGTGGACGACCCTCCATCCCACAGCCTGGATACTTACAGGACCCTGAACAGACTTGGGTAACTTAGGAGGAAATAAAGGTGTGAAGCGACAGCCTTATTCCTGGACGAAATGACCCCCGAACGAGACCTGATCGTTGCCCGGGCTGGTGAAGATGCATTGCCAGTATTAGATTTTCCCCCATCACCGACCAAATTTATGTTACCAATCCTCTGTGAACGAATTATCCGAAACTTGCAATGG